TCGAACCGCCGACCTTTCGATCGGCAAGCCCTAGGCGCTGAGGCTTTTACCCACAGCGCCACCCGCGTCCCTTATTTGTAGTATTATTGGGTTGTATATCCAACATTCATCTTATTCAGAGAAGACGCATTGAGGATAATGAACTCAGCTCACTTCAGTCCATTGTTTCCAGTGGGTCTACTCCGAGTAGGCCTTAGTTGGATATTATTATTATTAATTTCTAACCTACAATCCTCTTTTTGAGCAGCGATCTTGCCTAACCCCTTAGAGTTCAGGAGACTGAATTAAGTTACTATTATTAGTTATCAAGTTACAATCCAGGCTGATATTAATCTATAAATAATAGAGGGGGCGGAGAGGTTGGCCATAATGATATGTTGCGCTGCAATGGCAGCCGATGAGAACTCAGCCATGCATGTGGCAGCGAGGCTGGGAAGAGAGGGGCATTTTGCATTTCCCCGATTTGTAGCTCTCTGGTTTCTGGGTGACTTGTGCTGAATTTAAAAACATATGAAGAAAAACCGTAGGAATGGAAACCTCCAGAGATGAGAAAACACCAGAGGTGCTGGCAGAATTAAGCATTTAAGGATGCAGCTTAAGAACATCAGAAGAAGCTGCTGGATCAGGCCAATGGCCCATCTAGTCAGTCCAGCATCCTCTTCTCACAGTGGCCAACCAATTGCCTGTGGAAAGACCATAAGCAGGATTCGAACACAGGAGCCTTCTCCCCTCCTGCGGTTTCCAGCAACTGGTACAGTGGTACCTCGCAAGACGAATGCCTTGCAAGACAAAAAACTCGCTAGATGAAAGGGTTTTTTGTTTTTTGAGCTGCTTCGCAAGACGATTTTCCCTATGGGCTTGCTTCGCAAGACGGAAACGTCTTGCAAGTTTGTTTCCTTTTTCTTAACACCGTTAATACAGTTGCGACTTGACTTCGAGGAGCAACTCCTAGAACGCGGTGTGGTAGCCTTTTTTGAGGTTTTTAAAGCCTTTGGTGATTTTTGAAGCTTTTCCAAAACTTTCTCGACACCGTGCTTCGCAAGACGAAAAAAATCGCAAGACGACAAAACTCGCGGAATGAATTTATTTCGTCTTGCGAGGCACCACTGTATTTAGAAGCATAGTGACTGTATCCAACTGTGGATGAGTAGTAGCCATTGATAGGCCTCTCCTCCAGGCATTTGTCTAATCCTCTTTTAATGCTGTCTGGGTTGGTGGGCATCATTGCCACTTGTGGGAGCCAGTTCCATAGTTTAACTATGAAGAAAGATTTTATTTTATCTGTCCCGAATCTTCCAACATTCAGCTTCGCTGGACGTCCACAAGTTCTAGTGTTATGAGAGAGGGAGAAATGCTTTTCTCTATCTATTCCCTGCCCCCCCCAAACAGCGCTTAATTTTATAAGCCTCTGCCATGTCACTTCTTGCTTGCCTTTAAAAAGTCCCCCAAATGCTGCACCTTTCCTCATTTGGGAGTCTTTCCATCCCTCGATTGCTTTGGTTGCCCTTTTCCAAACCTTTTCCAACTCTGCAATATCCGTTTTGAGGCGAGGCGACCAGAACTGTAATACAGTGGTACCTCGGGTTAAGAACTTACGGTAATTCGTTCTGGAGGTCTGTTCTTAACCTGAAACTGTTCTTAACCTGAAGCACCACTTTAGCTAATGGGGCCTCCTGCTGCCGCCGCGCGATTTCTGTTCTCATCCTGAGGTAAAGTTCTTAACCCGAGGTACTATTTCCGGGTTAGCAGAGTCTGTAACCTGAAGCGTCTGTAACCTGAGGTACCACTATACTGTATTGGCCTCAATATAAGCCTCACTTTCCCCCCAAATCCCCCCCAAAAGTTAAAGTGTGGCTTATATTTGCGACCTTATAGTATGCAGCCAGGAGCAAGGAGCAAACAGTGCCAGGAGAGCGGCAAAGCGTCACCTGCCCCATGCGTAGTCCCCTGTCCTCTTCCCCAAGGCCAGGAAGGGAGAGAGTGAGGAAGGGGAAAAGCTGTCGGCAATGCAGCATGGTCCCCCCCCCCAGTATGCAGCCAGCCAGGAGCAGCGAGGAAGGGAGTGGCTTATATTCGGGTATTTTTTCTTTCTTTTTGCCTCTCCAATATTAAGGTAAAGGTAAAGGTACCCCTGCCCGTAGGGGCCAGTCTTGCCAGACTCTAGGGTTGTGCGCCCATCTCACTCTATAGGCCGGGGGCCAGCGCTGTCCGCAGACACTTCCGGGTCACGTGGCCAGCGTGACAAAGCTGCATCTGGCGAGCCAGCGCAGCACACAGAACGCCGTTTACCTTCCCGCTAGTAAGCGGTCCCTATTTATCTACTTGCACCCGGGGGTGCTTTCGAACTGCTAAGTTGGCAGGCGCTGGGACCGAGCAATGGGAGCGCACCCCGCTGCAGGGATTCGAACCGCCGACCTTTCGATCGGCAAGTCCTGAGCGCTGAGGCTTTAACCCACAGCGCCACCCGCGTCCCATTTAACCCACAGCGCCACCCGCATCCCATTCTCCAATATTACTTATTATTAATATTACTTAAACTCTGCCCATCTGGCTGGGTCTCCCCAGCCACTCTGGCCGGCTCCCAACAGAATATTTAAAACACAATAAACATCAAACATTAAAAACTTCCCTATACAGGGCTGCCTTCAGATGTCTCCTAAAAGTCAGATAGTTGTTTATTTCCTTGACATCTGATGGGAGGAAGTTCCACAGGGCGGGCAGCACCACCAAGAAGGCCCTCTGCCTTGTTCCCTGTAACTTCACTTCTCACAGGGAGGGAACCACCAGAAGGCCCTCGGTGCTGGACCTCAGTGTCTGGGCTGAACGATGGGGGTGGAGACGCTCCTTCAGGTATACTGGGCCGAGGCCGTTTAGGGCTTTAAAGGTCAGCACCAACACTTTGAACTGTGCTTGGAAACGTACTGGGAACCAATGTAGGTCTTTCAAGACCGGTGTTATATGGTCCTGGCAGCCACTCCAAGTCACCAGTCTAGCTGCCGCATTCTGATTAGTTGTAGTTTCTGGGTCACCTTTAAAGTTAGCCCCACATAGAGTGCATTGCAGTAGTCCAAGCGGGAGACAACTAGAGCATGCACCACTCAGGAGAGACAGTTTGCAGGTAGGTAGGGTCTCAGCCTGCATACCAGATGGAGCAGGAGATAACTAGACATGTACATACAGTATTCCAAATGTGGCTGCACTGTAGATCTGTACAATGGCATTATGATACTGGCAGTTTTATTTTCAACATCCCAGATCTAAAATGAGTTGTCCTCCTGGCTGCTCCATCCTGTGGAACGACCTTCCACCTGCCTTGTATCAAGTAGCAACCAGCAGTTGCGTCAGACGCCTCGTAAAGACTTATCTCTTTGGCCTGGGCTTTTCATGACCCGTAAGATTAGACTCTGATTTATATGCGCAAATCCTCTGAATTCATTCTTTTTATTTGCTTTTATGCTCTTTTATTGACTTTACGGCTGTATTTGCGTGTTAACGGATATCGGTTCTTTGCATTGTACATAGCGCATGCTGATTAGAGGGGTTTTCAAACTGTAAAGCGGTTTAGAAAGGCTTTTAAAATAAATAAATGGCCACTAGCCATGGTGGCAGGGACGTGGGTGGCGCTGTGGCTAAACCACAGAGCCTAGGACTTGCCGATCAGAAGGTCGGCGGTTCGAATCCCCGTGACGGGGTGAGCTCCCATTGCTCGGTCCCTGCTCCTGTCAACCTAGCAGTTCAAAAGCACGTCAAGTGCAAGTAGATAAATAGGTACCGCTCTGGTGGGAAGGTAAACGGTGTTTCTGTGTGCTGCTCTGGTTTGCCAGAAGCGGCTTAGTCATGCTGGCCACACGACCCGGAAGCTGTACGCCGGCTCCCTCGGCCAGTAAAGCGAGATGAGCGCCGCAACCCCAGAGTCGGTCACGACTGGACCTAATGGTCAGGGGTCCCTTTACCTTTAGCCATGGTGGCTGTGTTCTGCCTGCATGGCCTGCTGGAAGCAGTTATGCTTCTGAATACCAGTTGCAGGAGAGGACTGTGATCTTGTGTCCAGCTGATGCTTGAGCATCTGGTTTGCCACTGTGAGAACAGGATGCTGGACTAGATGGGCCATTGGCCTGATCCAGCAGACCTCTGCTTATGCTCTTGAATCAATCTGTCCCTTGAATCTCTCTCCTCACCAGGCTATATGCTGTCCCCAGCTTAGGGACGTAGTGTGGAGGGGCAGGGCGACTATGGCCAACGGGTACACAATTTTGAGGGGCCGCAAACCAGGAACCCTCACACAGCTGCTGGCTTCCACAAAGACTGGTACTGCTTTTTAAATATTTAATTTATGCCTTTCAATTTCATACATTTCAATCATTTTAACATTTCAAAACTTGACTTCCTTCCCCCCTCTTTCTGCGGTTCCTGAAATTTATTTTGTAATATTTTCTGAGTATCCAAATTTACTTAATTTGCTCCTTTGTTCATCTCCTTTCAATATATACTCATATAAAACGGCAGGCGATTATAATAATCCTGCCAATGTTCTCACCTGTTTACAGTTTGTCTGTAAATATTCAACAAACCGTTTCCATTCTTTTATAAAAAGTTTGTTACCTTGATTTCTTATTTTTCCAGTAAGTTTCACCATTTCTGCATATTCCACAAGTTTTTGTATCCATTCTTCTTTTGCTGGAACTTCTTCTCATAGGGACTGGTGCTGCTGGATCGTTTTATCACCCAAAGGTTGCCCAGAATGGAATGTGACTTAGGCTAAAAAAGACCTCCTCCTTTAAATTCCTGTTCTCCTCTGTAGGTAAATCCCATCAGAATTTTCAGTGGGCACCAGTACTACTGCCACCCACGGCTTTTGTGGCATTTTTTGAAACCAGTGATGCCCCCAACCAATTATTATTATTATTATTATTATTATTATTATTATTATTATTATTATTAGCATTGGTGTGGGGAGTGTTTAATTCTCATCCATGTTTCTGCTTTGCTCTCTCCCAAAGCTCCGGCACCAGCGACCCTTATTGCATCATCAAGGTTGACAACGAGGTCGTGGCAAGGTAAGTAGAGGCCGAGAGAACTGGAACGCCCACATCTCTCCAGCTTTAAAGATTTCCCAGATTTAGAGATTTCCCCAAAACGTCCCTAAACACTGCCAGCTTTCCTCATAGAAGAGTTGTTCCCTTTATCCTTGATAATTTTGGTTGCCCTTTTCTGAATCATTGAACTCAGTATCTCAAGCCTCAGGATCAGAAATATTCGTGGAAGAGGATCAGGCTTATTCACGGCGACGAAATAGTACCTCCATGTTCGAAGGCAGTATAGCTCTTACATGCCACACGCTGGGCACAAATAGCGGGCTTCCCAAATCCAGCTGGTCATTGTTGGTTTCCGTAGAGGACTGGACTGCAGGAAATTTTGGTCCAGATGTTCTTATGACTCTTCTTGTTCTAAGATTTTTCTGACTATCGTTATAAACGTGCTCGAGTCCAGACTGTCCTTTGCCAACCTGATGTCCTCCAGATGTTTGGACTAAAACTCCACCAGCCCCAGCCAGCTGTGATGGGAGTTATAGTCCAGAAAGGCCGTGCTTCGTGGGGCTGATGGGAGTTGTAGTTCGAAAGCATCCAGAGGGCACAAGCTTGGTGCCAGGTCTGGAAGGCTTGCCAGCTATGACCTCTTTTGGACGGAGGTGACTTGGCCACTGTGCTCTGTGCTCTGGGAACTTCCAGACTGGATTATCACAGCCAGATGACTAGCTGGGGTTCTGTTTAGATTTCATATAACTCCTGTTTTAGAACAGATGCACTGGTTGGCATTTTGTTCCAGGCCCAGTTTAAGGACTCAGCTACATTGGTCAAAAAACAGTGTTTTGTATGCATTATAAACATGCAACACCAGATGGCGCTGGCGAGCAAAACAAAAATCTAAGCAATTTTCTCTAGCGTTTTTTTCTTTTGTTAAAACGATTTAATTTCTGACTTATTTATAGCGGGGGGTCCTCCCCCCCGTGTGTAGATCCACCCCAAGCAGCTCATACTGGTGTTCAGAGCCCTAAATGACTCAGACCCTCCCAGGTGCTGAGACGGGCAGAGGGGGTCCTCTTGGTAGTTCCTTCGCCTTCAGAGGCTCAGGGTGATGGCGGCCCTGAAGAGGGCCTTCTCTGTGGTGGCCCCTAAGCTGTGGAACTCCCTCCCCACAGAGGTGTGCCTGGCACCTTGATTATACAGCTTCCAGAGGATGTTGAAAACACACCTCTTCGCTTTTGACACTTGAGGTGTATATTTCTGTGGTTGTAAGTTATTTTATATTGTTTTTGATGTTGTGTTTCAATTTCACAACTGGCCCTGGGGCCTTGGGGTGAAGGGCAGGCAAGCAGCAGCAGCAGCAGCAACAACAACAACAACAACAGGGTCTGGACTCTGCTTCCCTTGGGAAAAGCATTGCTTTCTGAAAGCTTGTCATTGTCAGGCTTCCAAATCCAGGCTTTGTCGATGACGTGTCCCACTTAAAGCCTGAGCCGAAAATTAAACTCCCTTCCATGGGGATTAACGAAAACAAGGGGTAGTCCTAGGCAATTAAGGCAGATCTGTGGCGGTTGGTGCCTGGTTGGCAGCCGCGGGGCAGCCTCCCCGGTTGCCAAAGGAGAGATTCAGATGTGCCGTTAAAAGGTGAGCGCTAATATCCACAAGGAATGTTAATCCGCCACGAGGTTTTCCACAGCTTAATGTTTGAGAGCAGGAGGCCAGACATCTCAGTTGGGATTTTTGCTTATGTTATTTTAAGGCCTCATGGACCTGCACAGAGCCAGGGGAGCAGGTAGCACTTCCAGGGGGACCAGATAATGTCTGCAAGGAGACTAGATAATGTTGCATCAAAGCAAGGTGCTATTTTTTTAGAATAAGAGATGCTGGCAATCACCATGAACGCCTCCCTTGCTCTCTTTTAATGTCAACGGCACCCACCTGAGAGGTGTTGGAACTGAGTTCTGGCTGAAAAAAAAGCCCTTGTTATCCCACCTAAGATGAGCCTGCTGTATCAGGCTAATGGCCCATCTAGATTTTGTTAGCTCTGTTTGCGGGGAGTTTAGATGACGTTGGCCATTTAGCAAGTCTTCCTCCTGGTTTGTGGGCAGGAAGGTTAGCAGACCCTCCAAGTGTCCCTATTTTCCAGGGACACCCCAGATTTAAAGAAGCCGCCCCAGTTTCTGGCTTGATCCCGGAATGTCCCGCTTTTCCTTAGGACATCCCTATTTTCATTGGAGAAATGTTGGAGGGTATGGAGTTAGCCAACTCACCGAGCCGTCTGAAGGCAGCCCTGGATAGGGAAGGTTTTTTAAAAAATGTTTAATGTTTCATTATGTTTTTATATGTTGTAAGCGGCCCAGAGTTGCTGGGGCAACCCAGTAAGATGTGTGGGGTATAAATAGTAAAATTATCATTATGGATTGGGACGTCTCTATTTTCATCGGAGAAATGTTGGAGGATATGGTTTAGATGAAGTTGCATCAAAGTAAGGATGCATTTGTTTAAAGCAGCATGGTATATCTTCCCCCAAAGAATTCTGGGAACTACAATCCCCAGAGTTGATTTAACAATCAATCCCTCTTCCCAGGGAACTCTGTGAATCAGAGCACTGGTCCATCAAGCTTTAAAAGGTAAAGGTAAAGGACCCCTGACAGTTAAGTTCAGTCGTGAACGACTCTGGGGTTACGGCGCTCATCACGCTTTACTGGCCAAGGGAGCCGGCATTTGTCTGCAGACAGTTTTTCTGGGTCATGTGGCCAGCATGACTAAGCCTCTTATGGTGAAACCATAGCAGTGCACGGAAATGCCCTTTACCTTCCCGCTGGAGCAGTACCTATTTATCTACTTGCACTTTTTAGTGTGCTTTCGAACTGCTAGGTTGGCAGGAGCTGGGACCTAGCAACGGGAGCTCACTCCGTTGTAGGGATTCGAACCGCTGACCTTCCGATTGGCATTGTGGTTTAGACCACAATGCTCTATACTCACTAGCACCTGCTCTCCAGGGTTACAGACAGGGGGTGTCTCCAAGCCCTTCCTGGAGATGTCAGTGGCCGAACCTGGAACCTTTTGCATGCCAAGCAAGTGTCCTAACCACTGCGCTACAACCCATCCCAAAGCTGCTGCGTACTTTGGGATTTAAAAGGGTTTTTTTTTTTTTACAGGTCCTGATAGCTTCTATTAGCACCATTTACAGTATTCCTTCATCCTCCACTTTGTCTTCTGTGGAATATGTGGTAGGGTCACCATACTGGCAGCTTGTTAGCATGATTGACAGCTTGTCAACCATTTGACATTGCCCGGTGCCCAGAGGTGTTAAGGAACCCTGTGCTTGTCTTCCTGGGCTGGAGAATTGGCAAGAGCCTCAGAGAGCCTCAGGCTGTCTGATCCGTCCAGCCTTGACACACCCTTCTCATCTTATCCCTCCTCAAATATTTGATCAAGAGCAAACTGACAACATTATAAGTGGCTCGAAGACAGAGCAACATGGCTCTGTAAAGATTTGCTCCGATGGTGAACGATTAACCAGGCTGGGAAGAGGCAGTTGAATCAGTCCCTGGCTGTGCTGAGGGGGGTGGGGGGAGATGAAAGGACAGAAGAATAAGAGAAAGCCAAGGTGGTGCAGTGGTTAGAGAATTGCACTAGGACAACCTGGGAGACCAGGGTTCGAATCCCCACTCAGCCATGAAGTTCACTGGGTGTGACCTTGAGTCAATCACTACCTCTCAGCCTAACCTACCTCACAGGGTTGTTGTGGGGATTAAATGAGCTCCTTAGAGAAAAAGTGGGATATGAATGCAATCAGTCAATCAATCAATCAATCAATCAATCAATCAATCAATAGCCTACTGGATCAGGCCAATGCCCCAGCTAGTCCAGCATGCAGTTCTCATAGCCACTGAAGTCCTCTTTCAAAGTCATCCAAGTTGGTGGTCATCACTGCCTCCTGTGGGAGGGAGTTCCATAGGTGAACGATGTGTTGCATAGAAGGCATTAAGCACCAACGGCCCTTCTGGGCAGACTCCTGACTTGACCGCCCTCTCCAACAAAGTGTTCCCTGGCTAGCTCTAAAAATGGTGAATAAGAACGAGAGGAAACATGAGAGATTACAAACTGATGATCTGGCAATGCTAACTGTATAAAATTAGGTGTATAAAAGGACACATGACGTGGAAAAAAATGGATATAGGGAGAAGGTTTTTCTCCTGCTGTTAGGATACTAGAATTTAGGGACATCCTAAATGTTGAAAGATACAGGACAGTCCCGCTTCACACAGCGGAACTCGTACCCACACAAGGTGTAGCGATTGGCCTCCAACTTGGAGGCCTTTAGAAGAGGATTGGACCATTTTGTGGAGGATGAGGCTCTCTGTGGTGACTAGCCGCTGCAACTATATTCTCCACCCACTGTTAGAGGCAGTATGCATCTGAATACCAGTTGGTAGGAATTATAGGTGAGAAGAGAATTACTATTTTACTTACTATATGTAGGGTTTGGTGTCAGTGTTGCTTGTGCAGGTTCTTTGTTGTTCATTTGTGTTTCTTTGGTGGTGAGAGAGGTTGGGGTTGGCCTAGGGTGTGGTTGTTTGTTTGTGACTGGCTGTGGTGATATTTGTTTTCATGTGTGAGTGGGGTGGGTGGGTGTTTTGGATCAGGTTAGCCATATTGATTTGTATGCTGTTGGTGGATTTTTGTCGTTGTCTTGTTGAGCTGTGTATGTGATAAAGGGGAGCCATATCGGGGTGAAGGAGTCTTTGTCCCCGTGTCAGTTTCAGTTTATTGGTTGATTTTTCTAGTAGGGCTGTTTCCCATACTATTTGGTACCATTGGTCCATGCTTACTCCGGACAGGTCTCTCCAGTGTCTGGCTATGATGCTTCTGGCTGATGAAAGTAGGTGGGTTATGAGTTCTAATTTGCAGGTTTCCTATTAAGGCCACTGTGAGAACAGGATGCTGGACTCGATGGGCCCCCTTTGGTGTGATCCAGCAGGGCTGTTCTTAGTGTGCATATGGTTTTAGCGCTGTTTTGCTGGATTTTCGCTGTATAAGCCATCCCAGACTCTGTGTTCATCATTTGATGCCTTTTTTGTGTGTCTCCTCTACGTGAGGTCCAGAGGGCAGCAACATGAGAACGGGCCTTCTCTGTAGTGGCTCCCCGTTTCCAGAATGCTCTCCCCAGGGAGGTTCGCCTGGTACCTTCATTATATATTTTTAAGCACCAGGTGAAAAAGTTCCTCTTCAACCAAGCCTTTGGCTGATTCATATTCTACCACTTTTTAAATGTGTCTGTGGGAAGTGTGTGTGTGTAGGGGGGTATTGTTTTGCTGTTTTGTTTTTCTTATTTACTGTATTTTATTCTGTGAACTGCCCTGTGATGTTATGATGAACGGCAGTCGTCTTCTTCTTATTTGGCTATCACTCGTAGCCAAGTAAGATTGTCTCCCATAAACACAGTTTTAACAGTGAGTCCCTAAGTGATCTTGGAGGCCAATTCTGGATCCACACGTCCTTCCACAATGAAAATATATAAATCTAATAATTTTTTTAAAAAATAAAAAAATACATTTTGTCCATATGTTTTACGTATATCATTCTGGGCTCTTTTGAGGAAGGTTGATTAATTAATAATAATAACAAGTGAAATTATTATTATTATTATTATTATTATTATTATTATTATTTCACCCACCCTTCACCCCAAGCTCCCAGGGTGTGTTACAACATTAAATAACAAGATTAAAAACAACCTGCAGCTACAAAAATAAAGTGGGTACATACATATATATATATATATATATATATATATATATATATCAGGCATGGGGAACCTTTAGCCCTCCTGATGTTGCTGAACTACAACTCCCATCAGCCCCAGAAAACATGGCCAGTGGTCTGGGATGATGGGAGTTACGAGTTCTGCAACCTCTGGAGGGACAAAGGTTCCCCACGCTATATATATATACTTGAGAATTTGGGTTTCTGTCACCTCAAAAGACTGCCATACATCCAATGTTGAACTCTTCTTTGCTTCCCCTCTGCAGAACTGCCACGGTGTGGAAGAACCTCAACCCTTTCTGGGGGGAGGAATATACTCTGCACCTTCCAATGGGTTTCCACAACCTCTCATTCTATGTTCTGGATGAAGACACCATTGGGTAAGTAGGGGAATGGGCACCAGAGAAGGTGGGCTGTAATGGGCTGTGTATGCAGAAGACTATTGTATTTTGAGGAGGTAGGAATAATACCCAGTAGTGATGTGTGGAAGTGAGAGGTGGACCATAAAGAAGGCTGATCGCCGAATAATTTATGCTTTTGAATTATGGTGCTGGAGGAGACTCTTGAGAGTCCCATGGACTGCAAGAAGATCAAACCTCTCCATTCTGAAGGAAATCAGCCCTGAGTGCTCACTGGAAGGACAGATCCTGAAGCTGAGGCTCCAATACTATGGCCACCTTATGAGAAGAGAAGACTCCCTGGAAAAGACCCTCATTTTAAATTGTATTTTAACCTGTATTTTAAATTTGTTTTTCCCCCCTATTATATTTTTATTGTAATTTTACTGGTTTTAGCTGCCCTGAGCCCGGCTCTGGCTGGGAAGGGTGGGGTATAAATAAATTATTATTGTTATTATTATTATTATTATTATTGCTATGAAGCTCACTGGGTGACCTTGGGCTGGGTGCTGTCTCTCCGCCTCACCCCCTGGAATGGTTTAACTCTGATTAACTTAGTTGATCAGAAACAGGGAAGGTTCAGGACCCTGGACAGTACTGCAGGGTCTGGCCCAAGAAATTATTCTCCAGTCAAGTTGTATGTATAGAAGTACATTTGCTGGAGTGAAAGGTAACATACGAAAATGCATTATATTAGGGGGGATTTGACCCTTTTCTGTTTGTTTTGAAACAAATACAAGAACCATGAAACAATATTATAGGAAGTTAGGTTGCAAAAATGCATTATATTAAGAGAAACAGCACATATAAATGAGAGCATCAGGGGTAAATTTGCATGGAAATGCTGGTGAGTTTTCATCTAAACCTTAAAAAAATAAAATTGCACACCGATGCAAAAATGCCAAGATCTGGATTTAAGGCTGGTGAAATGAAAAATGGACAGAAACCAAAAACTGACTGATTAACCCATCCCTGCTGTGGTGGAGTTGGGGGCGACACAGGGAGCTGCTGCCTACCTTAACATCCTTCAAACTCTGTTGCATGGGCTGAATGGGATGCAAAGCGAGTGGAGACCCTTTGCCTCTATCTGCTTCTACAGGGCTTTGCGTTGCTCTGGAGAGAATAGGCTTTTTTGGTGGGCCGCCTCCTGGAGAAGAAGATGTATTGCATGAGAAGGACGAGGAACAGGTGGATCCATCTGTTTCCTCCCAATCCCTGTTTTGAGTTCGTCTGTTCAAAAGCCTTGTTTCTGCAACAACAATCTGCATTTCCCCTACCCATTGGGCAGTATCCAGATAACTTGTTTGGTCGGCGCTAGGATTTAACCTTGTGTAATGGAACTTTAAGGATGCGGGTGGCGCTGTGGGTTAAACCACAGAGCCTAGGACATGTCGGTTGGCGGTTCGAATCCCCGTGACGGGGTGAGCTCCCGTTGCTCCTGCCCACCTAGCAGTTTGAAAGCACGTCAAAGTGCAAGTAGATAAATAGGTACCATGCTGGCGGAAAGGTAAACGGTGTTTCCATGTGCTGCTCTGGTTCGCCAGAAGTGGCTTAGTCATGCTGGCCACATGACCCGGAAGCTGTACGCCGGCTCCCTCGGCCAATAAAGCGAGATGAGTGCCGCAACCCCAGAGTCAGCCACTACTGGACCTAATGGTCAGGGGTCCCTTTACCTTTACTAATGGAACTTTCCCCATTTTCCTCCCCGCCCCCTGTAGGCCCCTAACACCTCTCCTAGTGGTCCCCTCTGTGGGGCAGATCTGGGGCATACAGGCATACAAAGGGAAGTTCCATTCTGCACACATGAATTTTTTCACTGGTGGGATGAGGTACGTAGGACTGCAGTGGCTACAGTGGATACAACATAGCCCTGTTTAGGGAAGCTTTTAATGTTTAATAGGTTATTGTATTTTAGTGTTCTGTTGGAAGCCGCCCAGAATGGCTGGGGAAACCCAGCCAGATGGGCGGGGTTTAAATAATAAATTATTATTATTATTATTATTAGTAGTAGTAGTAGTATTATTATTAGTATTCCCCACCACCACCAAAAAAATAGGCATTTTTGTATGTTAAACCTATCCCCCCCCCATTTTTACATATGTGTTTCTGTGTAGGTTATATCTAGCTGCCAGATATTGCATTGCAGAATTCAAAGGAGTGCAAAGACGGAAGGATAACAGTTCCACTCTGCAAATTAGTCTGGGAAGGGCAAATGATTTGCTTAAAAATCAGGGTTGCACAAACTCCACAACAACCCTGCCAGATAAGGCAGCTTCTGGTGCTCCTCTTTCAGTCCCATCTTGTACCATTTCTGTTCTTTGTCTCCTTGCAGGCATGATGATGCCATCGGCAAAATCTCCCTCAGCAAAGACTTCATCTCATCTCACTCTCGGGGTAGGTGCCAGTAGGCACCCTAGTGGGAAGGGTGACCAATGGCTGCGGGGGTGGGGTGTGTGATGTTGTATTGTGTTTCCTGCTATTTTTTGTTGGGAGCCGCCCAGAGGGGCTGGGGCATCCCAGTCAGATGGGCGGCATGCAAGCAAGCAAGCAAGCAAGCAAACAAACAAACGTCAACAAAAAAACAAACAAATATTGATGCCAACAAACAAACAATTGTTGTTAACAGATAGAAAAATCCCTAAACTATCTGCCAAGACCGCCAACAATTTTCATATGGAAAGGGATACACACACACACACACACATATATATATACACATATAGTCCTTCTGCAAACTTCTGCTGTGTTTCCCATTCTCTCTCTCTTCCTCCAATGCAGGAATTGACAGCTGGATCAACCTCAGTCCTGTGGATCCCAATGAAGAGGTGCAGGGGGAGATTTCGGTGGAGCTGCAGGTGGTGGAGGAATCCCACAAGAGGGTGCTGTGCTGCCATGTCATTGAAGCCAGGTAGAAGAAGGGTTTTCTCTCTGTGTGTCCTCCTCCCCCTCTCCTCTTTCTAGCTCAAGAGTGCATCTCAAGCAGGTGGAGGGAATATTCTTTCATGTGTGGTGGACTTGTAAAAGGGTAAAAAAGTTTTGGGAAATGATCCATAATGAATTGGGAAGAAAAATGTTTAAAAGTACTTTCCAAAAACAAACACACCCAGATTCCTTTCTGTTGGGGACAATTCAGACTGAAATTCCTAGGCGTTATTTATGTATGCCACTTCTGCAGTCCATGTTTCATTAGCCCAAAAATGGAAAGCGAGGGAAGTACCAACCAAAGAAGAATGGTAACTTAAATTGACAGAATATGCACAGCTTGCAGACTTAACATACCGAATAAGCATATGTTTAGAGAAGATTGGAAAACGTTTATTGAATATATGGGAAATAACTGTGTACAGTTGAAAACGCTTAAAATAAATTCAACAGTGTAAATAAGTTTTGATGGATGCAATACTGGAATACTGAATGGTGTAGTTTCTTTAAAGTATGCAGGGACTTATGATATGTAAAATGAACCATGGAAAGAGGAGAAGGGAAGTCATTGATATCTTAAGGATGTAAAAATAAGTACTTTAAATTGTAAAATAGAAAAAACTATGTATATATATATGTGTGTGTACACACACACACACACTGTCTGTCGTCTGTCTGTCTGTCTGTCTGTCTGTCTGTCTGTCTGTCTATATGAGAGAGAGAGTGCATCTGAAGCCTGGGGATTATTTTCTGGATAAATACCCTTCACAGGCCCTGTGTCAGGCCCTCCTTGAGAGCATCTGCTTGCATGGAAGGCTTCTGTTGTCACATCCACACCTTACATTTAAACTAAGCGCTATTATACTTCAAAGAGTGCCTTCCTCAATATCAATCATCTTGTACCCTATGACTGGCAGATGAGGCCTTCTTGGTGCTGCCTGCTTGCTGCTGACCCACAGCAGGGCCTTCTCAGTGGGGGTTCCTCACTTGTGGAATGTCTTCTTTAGCAAGGTGCACCCTGTCTCCATCCTTACTAACTTTCAGGGTGGATTTGAAAACATCCCTGTCGACCCAGGTATTTGATGGCTGAAGAATATTGTTCCTGGCCACCCCAAGATCACTGGTTGGAAGGGAACTAAAACTGCTTTTTAGAATGCTTTTGCTTTTATTTAAACTGTGCATCTGTTTTCCTCCCTGAGCTCAAGGTGGCATGAATGGTTCCCTCCCTCTTCATTTAATCTCCACAACAACCCTGTGAGGTAGGTTAGGCTGAGAGACAGTGATCACCCAGTGAGCTTCATGGCCAAGTAGGGATTTAAACCCTGGCGCTGTGGGTTAAACCACTGAGCCTAGGACTTGCCGATCAGAAGGTCGGCGGTTCGAATCCCTGTGACGGTGTGAGCTCCCGTTTCTCTGTCTGTACTCCTGCCAACCTAGCAGTTCAAAAGCACGTCAAAGTGCAAGTAGATAAATAGGTACCACTCTGGCGGGAAAGTAAACGGCGTTTCCGTGCGCTGCTCTGGTTCGCCAGAAGCGGCTTAGTCATGTTGGCCACATGACCCGGAAGCTGTATGCCGGCTCCCTCGGTCAATAAAGCGAGATGAACGCCGCAACCCCAGAGTCGGTCACGACTGGACCTAATGGTCAGGGGTCCCTTTACCTTTATTCCCAGGTCCTAGACTGACACACTATCCACTATAATACGCTGGCAGTCTTGTCAGTCGTGACATCTCCCCAAAGAAACCTGAGAGAACTGTAGCTTGCCCTTCACAGAGCTACGGTTCCCAGGATATATTTTTCTTTGGGGGGGGGAGGGGAAAGGATCATGCAAAAAAGTTACCAGTAACTTGCCTGTGCATTTTGAAAGGAATATATAACTTTAACTTAGTGCTGGATTGGATGCAACACAAAAGCACAGGTTTGGAAAATGTCGGGGGGGGGGTGGCTGTTGTAGAACATCTTTTTTGATGATATATGCTAGATTTTCAAAAATTGAAAAGTTGAAAAGCTAGAAGAGTGCTTGGAGGTGTTCACTTTCCTCACTTCCCCCTCTCCCAGTGAGAAAAAGAAAGGTGGCTGTAATAAAAAGGTGTTGTGGCTGCTGAAACCGAGTGCGAATCTTCCTGCACTCTTGGCTGCCTCCCAGTCCCTTAGAAAGTGAGATAATTAACACCTTATGAATAATCATAATAAAAATGAACACTGGGGCTGTGAAAAGATTTGGCAGGAGTGGAGGGTTGGGTGGGTGGTGGATTTAGGGACAGCTCACATTTATCTTGATTTTTTTTAAAATGTTGTCTTTTTGGGTCAGGCTTTTGATTTTCTGTGACAAAATACTTCTTTCAGATATTTAGCTGGGATGGATATTTATCTCGGATGGATAACAAAACGGTAGCCCTTGTGGTGGTTTGTGCCATCTCGCTAGTCCTCAGGAAGATGCAGGGAGGTCCAAGTTTTGATGTTCGCAAATGGCAAGCCTCAGGCCTGGGGGCCAAATGCAGCTCTCCCCACTTTTCTATGCCTGGCCCTCAGGACTCTCTCCAGGGCCACTTCCACCCCATACATTTAAACCACTGACCTATGGCTGGTGTTTTTATGTTTAAAATGCTACTTGCCTGGGATGGAAAGAAGAAGCTTTTGATGATCAAAAGTTGTGCCTTCAGAGAAGAAAGTGACTTATCTCCAGCATTAATTTATATTTTTGTGTGTGTGTGTGTGTGTGTGTGTGTGTGTGTATGTGTATCCCACCTTTTCCTCTAAGGAGCTCAGGGTTGAATACATGGTCCCCCCCCCCAATCCTGCTTCTCATTTAATCCCCACAACAACCCTGTGAGGTAGGTTAGGCTGAGAGGCAGCGACTGGACCAAGGTCGCACCTCATGTGATGGATTTGAACCCTGGTCTCCCAGATCTTGGTCCAGGACTCTAACTGCTACTGTTGTTGTTGTTTAGTCATTTAGTCGTGTCCGACTCTTTGTGACCCCATGGACCAGAGCACGCCAGGCACTCCTGTCTTCCACTGCCTCCTGCAGTTTGGTCAAACTCATGTTTGCAGCTTCGAGAACACTGTCCAACCATCTCGTCCTTTGTCGTCCCCTTCTCCTTGTGCCCTCCATCTTTCCCAACATCAGGGTCTTTTCCAGGGAGTCTTCTCTTCTCATGAGCTGGCCAAAGTATTGGAGCCTCAGCTTCACGATCTGTCCTTCCAGTGAGCACTCAGGGCTGATTTCCTTCAGAATGGAGAGGTTTGATCTTCTTGCAGTCCATGGGACTCTCAAGAGTCTCCTCCAGCACCATAATTCAAAAGCATAAATTCTTTGGCAATCAGCCTTCTTTATGGTCCAGCTCTCACTTCCATACATCACTACTGTATGGAAGTGAGAGCTGGACCATAAAGAAGGCTAACCGCTACACCGCATACTATGTAACTCAGTGCAAGAGATACCATTCTGGATGAGACCACTACCTTTCTCTCAATGCTCTGCTTTGCAGGTGCGATGCTGCTGAAGGGTTCAGTGCGTGGGAACTGAGAGGGTTAGGGAAAAGGAACGGGTGGTCAGAGACCATGAAAAAGCATCCTTCTCTCCTGGATGCTCAACTGGGAACCTAGGCAACCGGTTAGCCAATAGGAAATGGGTGGATCATAGGGGTGAGTGGGAAAAAGAATGGAATGAGTGGCTGCAGTCAAGGCATAAGGGGTTGGCAGTGGTGTGGGTGTAATAGCATAAGTCCTGTTGCCTAAAGACATCTCTGCTTCATTTTGAACTGACACGGTCCTCAGAATGCGGGTACAGGGAATCCTTATTTGCAAAGTGAATCTTGCCCGAGTTCTAGGTGTTTTTGGCACAGGTTGGCGTTGGTCAGTGGTGAAGGGGAATGGCACTCTGTACATGCTCAGGGGGACCTCTGTTAGGCTGGAAACAGATTTTTTAAATTGTTGACGGAGGCACACTTTCTTGTTCTCTACTCCTCTTTAGTCAGTTGCTGTTAAGCCATTTTGAGTATGACAACAGGGGAGCAGAATAGAATTATTACTATTACTAGGAAGAGCTTGCGGACAAGTTTACCGGTGAGGTCACCTTACCCCATAAATGTCCACTCGTCTGCTTCAGTATACGGAACAATATACCTGTTACAAGTGCCACATAATACTTATTCCACATTTGTAAGGAATCAATCTTTTAGCATGGCAGGGCCTGAACTTTGGAACTCACTGCCACTTGACATCAAACAGGCCCCTTTACTGTACTCTCTTCTACACCTGCTAAAAACTCCTTTTTTTCAGGTAAAAGTATCCAGATACGTATGTAGAATGTTGACAGGTATTTTAATCTGGTTTTTAGCTTATCGGTGACTTTAATTGTTTTTTGAATGCTTTAAATATTTTTTAACTGTTTCGCCTGATCATTTCCTTGTTTTATACTTTATGTATACGGCTTTGAGGGTTTGGTTTGGTTTTTAATAACCAAGCAGTATATAAATTTTATGAAATAAAATTAGTAGTGTTAGTAGTACAGTCGTATCTCGGAAGTCAAACGGAATCCGTTCCGCAAGTCTGTTCGACTTCCAAAAGGTTCGGAAACCAAGCCGCATCAGACATTTGGCTTCCAAAGAACATTTGCAAACTGGAACACTCACTTCCGGGTTTGCGGCGTTCAGAAGCCAAAACGTTCCAACCTTTCAAGGTGTTCGGGATCCAGGGTACAACTGTAGTGCTGTTTACATTTTTATCCCAACCTTCCCTACAAATTCAAGCTAGCAGAAATGATTTCTCTCTCCCTTGATTCTCATGGCAATCCTACAAGGTAGGGTAGACTGAGATACAGGGATTGGCCCAAGATTGCTCAGGAAGCTTTGTGTCAAAGAACTCCCCTGTGCAAATTCAACAGGCTCCCTGCACGACATGGTCAGGGGTGTCAATTTGAATAAAATATGGTGGGGGCCCAGGTAAGCCCCACCCCGCATAATCATTCACATGACATAGTGCACACACACCATTTGAATGGGAATGTCCATCAGCTGGGGGAGGCAGGGCGGATCCTTAAAATATTTTATTGTGGGGGCCGCAGCACCCATGGTGGCTAGGAGTTGGCTCCTATGTTTGGTGGTAGTGATAGCAATAGCCGTGTTATGCTGTCAGAGAGTTTATGGCAGCTTGAAAAAGAGTTTTCAACTTGTGGTGTATATAATGCTGAATAAATACAAGCAACAGGACCTGCAGGCACTCAGAATTTTGTGGCAATTTTTGCGTTCTCAGACAAACACTGGGGTGGTTTTGCACCCTTACCTTGCCAAGATCTTCTCCACTTCTGCAAATCTTGAGGTTCCCCCAAACCTGTTGATACCTTACTCTGGTTTTTCAGTAGCCCTGTTTTGTCTATGTAGCCATCGTCACTCAGCACCCGAGTTTGAGTTTGCTGTTAGAAGACAGCCACACACCTAAGGCTGAAATGAACCGTCCGCTGCCAGAAAAGGCCTTCCTTTGTCAACCTCGGCAGTGAGCCCCCTTTAAGAGGTTTTTGTTTTGTTGATGAAGCTGCATTTCATTTTTGTTAAATTAAAAATAAAGAAATAAAACCCTGTTGGAATATACAGTGGTACCTCAGGTTAAGTACTTAATTCGTTCCGGAGGTCCGTACTTAACCTGAAACTGTTCTTAACCTGAAGCACCACTTTAGCTGCTGCTGCCGCACCGCCGGTGCCCGATTTCTGTTCTCATCCTGAAGCAAAGTTCTTAACCTGAAGCACTATTTCTGGGTTAGCGGAGTCTGTAACCTGAAGCATATGTAACCTGAAGCGTATGTAACCTGAGGTACCACTGTACTTCCTGATATCCATCTGCCATCTTCCTCCACATAGAGACCTTGCTCCGCGGGACACCTCTGGAACCTCAGACCCCTTTGCCCGCGTCCTGTGGAATGGGCAGGTGCTCGAAACAGCTGTAAGTATAGCCCCTGATGTGTTTCAAGTGTCAGAACCATATGGTAGGATTTGAATCCAAGACCTGGGAAATAAGAACTGGAGTCAAAGCCCAGAAAGGCTATTGTGTCCCAGGGAAAGTCTGAGTCTGAACAGGAAGTGAGGACTGGGGAATCTTATCCATTTTCAGTTTCTCTCTTTCTCATTTTTCCTGTCTTAGTACGTCATGTTTTTTGCATTAGCTTGTGTGTGGGAGTTTTGTTTTTTTTCAACCCTCATGAAAATTCACCAGCATATTAGTATGAATTTCTCCTAATGTACACATTTTTTGGTGCAATTTTGCCCAACGCACACACAATTTCCCATAATATAAATGTATTTTTATTTTACTTTCATGGAGATGGATGCAGCTAGATCCACTATTTTCTGTGCACGCACCTAGGCAAATGATTTGCAGTGCTCCAAAAATCTTTCAGGGTGTCTTCAGCTGCGTTTTCCATCATGTTCCACTGTACATAACATAACTTGCACACCGTTCTCTTGAAACTGAAGCTCCTTGTGTTTCAAGTGTCCCTAAATACTTAGCTTTGGAGCAGGCAGAACAACTCCTCCTTGGTCTTCCGGCGCACCTTATCCAGAACAAACCTAGGAGCCAATCCTCAGTGACTGACTGTCTTCCTTTCATTCTGATTGGCTCCCATCAGCACAAAAGGCGAGAAGAAGGCTGCTTCTCAGTGGCTAAAACAAAGTCCCCTTTTGTGCTGATTGGGTACCTCTAAGATGCTGGAAACAGGCTCCCTGCTGGAATCCTGGTGCAGAAATACTAACAGGTCTTTGACATGCACACCTTCTAGGAACAGGGTCCCCCTCATCTCTGTTCTCCTCTTAACAACAACCCTGTGTAGTGGATTAGCCTGAAAGGCAGCAGCTGGCCCAGGATCACCCAATGAGCTTTATTGATTGAGTGGGGGATTTGAACTCAGGTCTCCTAGATCCTAGTCTGGCAATCTAACTGCTACACCACAAGCTGACTCACTTCACGTGGCTGCGCACAAACAGGCGTGTGTCTCACCATGGGCAAGGCGGCAGGGGTGATCGTGGTTTAAGTTTGCTCTTAAATGGGGCATTTGTCTGCTTGCGTTTACGCATTCTTCTCCCTCCGCAGATCATCAAGAAAACTCGCTTCCCGCGCTGGGATGAGCTGCTCGAGTTTGTCCTGGAGGAGGGGACCGCTGGGGAAACCCCGCTGATCGTAGAAGTGTGGGATTGGGACATGGTGGGCAAGAATGACTTCCTGGGACGGGTGAGTGGTGGGCACAGGAGGCTGTCCTGGCCTGAGTCCCTCTTATGCAAGCTCTGAGGTGTGGGAATGTTGTGGATAGTAGGAGAGGATATATTGATTAAATACTATCCTTCCTCAGGCTGGTGAGCTAGTAGCACAGCACATTCCCTTGCACATTGCTGGAAGCTAGTTGATGGATTCGTAAGAATCATTTGAGTTGAGCTATCCAGTCTGGCTTGTCCAGATTGGATTGTTCCTGGCAAATTTCCCCTTTATTTCCCTCTTAAAAACAACAATGACACAACAGTCTTCTTTTAAAATTAATGGTAAAGTTTACTTACATTCAGTTCATAGTATGGTCCTGAAGGCAGCCTTTAATTTGTACAGTGGTACCTCTGGTTACAAACTTAATTCGTTCCGGAGGTCCGTTCTTAACCTGAAACTGTTCTTAACCTGAGGTACCACTTTAGCTAATGGGGTCTCTCGCTGCCGCCACACTGCCGCTGCACAATTTCTGTTCTCATCCTGAGGTAAAGTTCATAACCTCAGGTATTACTTCCAGGTTAGCGGTGTCTGTAACCCGAAGTGTTTGTAATCCGAGGTACCACTGTGGTTACAGATACATGTGTAGAAAAAAGAAGTATGAGCTAGGCCACAGACTTTCTGCCTTGTGGCTTCCATTGTCTGTAAGGATGCGCCATGCGCTAAGAGCCAGCCAAAGAGTCCAAAAGGAAAAATGGAACAAGGCGAAAAGAAGAAGATGGCTGTGTGGCTAGCCTTTTTTTTTAGGGCCTGCCAGGGTCACGCCCATCTACCTGGTCACACGCAGGGGGAGCATGCTCCAGACCAGGTGTGACAGGAAGTCCTCCTAGCTGGAGCAACATTCCCCTGTCCTGTGTGTCCACTCTGGGCAAACAGGAAATGTTGTATTTGACTGCTTCAGTGACGTTACATCTCACATGAGGGGTTGCGGCTGCTGCTTTGACAGGGGTGAAAGAATTGTAGAGGGGGAAGGGACCCTAAGGATCATCTGGTCCAACCCCCTGCAATGCAAGAATATGCAGCTGTCCCTTACAGGGATCAAACCTGCAACCTTGGCATTATCAGCACCATGCTCTGTCCAACTGAGCTATCCAGGATCGAACTAGAGGAACTGAATAGGGGAACGGGGAAGATGTTAGGTCTGAGGTACGCATTCCTTTCTGTGCAACCTCCTGGGGGCCACCTGCAAGCGGTGGGCGGGGCAGAGGCAAAGGTAGGCGGGGCAAGACATGTGAATTTTATCTCTGCACAGGAGGGTAGTTTCTACACAGGCTCATACACACCTTGCTGCCCTCCATCCCTGCAAGCCAGTTGTATAATCAGAGGCACAATCCAGCCTTTAGCCCTACCTGAATTAACCGTTGAGTCGCAAACAGAATGATCCCTGCTGTTGCACTTCCAGCACTCCTCTACCTCCGCACTGACCTCTCGCTTTCTCTGATCCACGCAGGTTGAATTCTCGTTGGATGCCTTGCAGAAGGCCCCTGTCAAAGGCTGGTACCGCCTGTTGCCATTCACCAGCACAGAGGGAGATGCAGGGTAAATGAGGGACCTCTTCTGGCCTTTTTGGGGCATAGTATTGTCGTAAGGGACGCGGGTGGCGCTGTGGGTTAAAGCCTCAGTGCCTAGGGCTTGCCGATCGAAAGGTTGGCGGTTCGAATCCCCGCGGCAGGGTGCGCTCCCGTTGCTCGGTCCCAGCGCCTGCCAACCTAGCAGTTCGAAAGCACCCCCGGATGCAAGTAGATAAATAGGGACCGTTTTCTAGCAGGAAGGTAAACGTCGTTTCCGTGTACGGCTCTGGCTCGCTAGAGCAGCGATGTCACGCTGGCCACGTGACCCGGAAGTGTCTTCGGACAGCGCTGGCCCCCGGCCTCTTGAGTGAGATGGGCGCACAACCCCAGAGTCTGGCAAGACTGGCCCGTACGGGCAGGGGTACCTTTACCTTTACCTATTGTCGTGGAATTCTATTCAGTATTGATCCAGAGTAGATTCCAGATGTATAGTTAGCAGAGTAAAAACTTAAATCGTCCCCGGCCACGCACCCCAAGTGACTTGATTGGCCACCTGGCAACCTGACATGGCCGGGGTCTCCCCCACCCCGACGCTGAGGGGAGTGGCTAGGAGGCCGGACCACAATCCAGCCCCACCCGGAAGTGGACCCAATATTCCCCAAAAATAGACCAGAGGCAGTTGTATTTCATCTAGCAGAGCTTTATTGCTACTGAAGGCAAATGAGCATAATGATCACAAATCCAATACATTCAGGATTGGCACAGTCCATGAGAAATCCAGTTGCAGCAGACTTAACTTAAACTTACAATAACTTATAATAAGTCTAAACCTTAACACTAAGCAGAACACCACACCAGAAGGAAAGAGAGATAGAGAGAGACTTTTATAGTCCGCATGACCTTGACAGAAAGAGATAACAGGACCAGTTTAAGGCAGCTGTACTCAGCTTCTCTGAAGGAATAACCCAAACATCATGAACCTTCTGCTTGCTTCTTTCACACAGAGCAGCTTCCAGAAGCCTCTTGAATTAAGTAGAATAGGAAAGACCTATACACATCAGATCAATACTTTCTGTGCTAAGAAATGCGAACTGACAAGTATGCGGCCAGGTGCCCAGGGGGTCAGGTTTGGAGTCTAATGACAGGTTGTCAGGCTGAGGGGCCAGAGGTGAACAGTAGGATCTTGGGTGGCAGAGGTTGAGCTGGGGTACTGAGGGCCCAGGGGGAGCATCGTAGTCCAAGGTGGACGGGAGCTCACCTGGTTGGCCACTGTGAGAACAGGATGGTGAAATAGATGGACCCACCTTAGAGCTGTGGTTGTAATTTGTTTTAAGCTGCTTTTAATATTGTGTTTTTAAAATTAAATTTATTTTCAACTGCTTTCAATGTTGCATTTTTTAATCTAAATTTATTTTCAACTGCCTTCAATGCTGTGTTTTAAAATTCAAATGCATATATTTTGTTTATAAAGTTATTTAAATACCGCTATATCATTAAAAAAAAAATTTAATGTCAAAGCCGTTTACTCTGTATGTCTGTATATTATATAATATATTATATTATATCTCTGTATATTAAAAACGCATACAAATTTGAAACCACAGGCAATCAGCTAACCGTTATGGAAAGATGGCTTCCTAATTGCCCGCGTAGGCCTGGCGGCACAGGGAAAAAGAATTCTGCAGGCGTACAAAGTTTGGCACAGAAGGAACCTGCTAGATCTCTATTGGCAGGATATTCTACACGGCTGGGTCGATGCCACTAAAAGCTCGGCTTCTTGTTGCTGCCAAATGAGCCTCGTCAATAATAACTCACCCACAGATGAAAAAGGGACGCGGGTGGCGCTGTGGGTAAAACCTCAGTGCCTAGGACCTGCTGATCGTAAGGTTGGCGGTTCGAATCCCTGCGGCGGGGTGAGCTCCCATCGTTCGTCCCAGCTCCTGCCCACCTAGCAGTTCGAAAGCACCCCTAAGTGCAAGTAGATAAATAGGTACCGCTTTATAGCGGGAAGGTAAACGGCGTTTCCGTGTGCGGTGCTGGTGCTGGCTTGCCAGCTGCTGCTTCGTCACGCTGGCCACATGACCCGGAAGTGTCTTCGGACGGCGCCGGCTCCCGGCCTCTTGAGCGAGATGGGCGCGCAACCCTAGAGTCGGACATGACTGGCCTGTACGGGCAGGGGTACCTTTACCTTTAAGGTACCCTGAACCTAAGTTGCTCAGGGCTCTGTAAATTGTTCAGGGCAGATTTTCTTTGCAGATGAGCAGCCAGAGTAGATAATTTAACAAGCATGGGGTGGGGGAGCTGAAAATAATGCCAATATATTTCAATAATGCCAATACGCCCCTTTGTTTTCAGATAGTACATGGGTAGACGAGTTTAAAAAGCAAGGGACACAAATTTTCACAGCCCTCTAGTGGCTATGGCGACTCATTTACCAGAAGTCATCTATTTTGTGTGAACTCCGGAAGTGTATAATTGATTCGGATCAAACTAAGCCTCCTGGTGTAGATTGTGCTCTCTGCTTGCAGGGGGAAGCTGGGGGCGCTGAGACTGCGGGTGCGACTTGCCGAGGATCGGATCCTGCCCTCCCGGTACTACCAGCCACTCATAGACCTGCTGGTGGAGTCCGTCATGTGCCCATCAGAGGTGGGCACTTAGTGGTTTACCCTCCTTTTTTGTGCATGAGAGAGACACGGGGTTAAAAAGAGGCAGGCGCAGTCAAGGCGGGTGTTTTGTGGAAAAAATGGGTGCAAAAATGGGGGGGTTTGGGTTGTTCCACTGGAGGAATTTTTTGGGGGGGAATGTCACATGATGTCTCCACCATCTGGAGGTGCATGCCTGGGGATCCTGGTATCTTGACTGTTTTCACATGCAAGCAAAACACCCTGTAGAATTCTACCCGTGATATTTTATCTGCGCAATCAGAATGAATTTCAGGAACCGAAAAGACTTTTGAGCTGTGTGACTCCTCAGACAGCAACTCGTCATTCATACCCTCCAACATTTCTCCGCTGAAAATAGGGACATCCTATTCAACAACAACAACAATAATAATAATAATAATACTCCACCTGACTGGGTTGCCCCAGCTACTCTGAGCAGCTTCCAACATATATAAAAACAACAACAACAACAACAACAACAACAACAATAATAATAATAATTTATTATTTGTACCCCGCCCATCTGGCTGGGTTTCCCCAGCCACTCTGGGCGGCTTCCAAGAAAGATAAAAATACACTGAAATGTCACATATTAAAAACTTCCCTGAACATGGCTGCCTTCAGATGTCTTCTGAATGTCAGGTAGTTGTTTATCGCTTTGACATCTGATGGGAGGGCGTTCCACAGGGCGGGTGCCACTACCGAGAAGGCCCTCTGCCTGGTTCCCTGTAACTTGGCTTCTTGCAGTGAGGGAACCGCCAGAAGGCCCTCGGAACTGGACCTCAGTGTCCGGGCAGAACGATGGGGGAGGAGACGCTCCTTCAGATATACTGGACCGAGGCCATTTAGGGCTTTAAAGGTCAGCACCAACACTTTGAATTGTGCTCGGAAACGTACTGGGAGCCAATGTAGGTCTTTCAAGACAGATGTTAATAAAACATCAAACATTAAAAACGTCCCTAAACAGGGCTGCCTTCAGATGTCTTCTAAAAGTCAGTGGTACTTAGGGTTCAGAAGTTAATTCGTTCTAGAGGTCTGTTCTTAACCTGAAACTGTTCTTAACCTGAGGTACCACTTTAGCTCATGGGGCCTCCCGCTGCAGCCGCCACGCAATTTCTGTTCTTATCCTGAAGTAAAGTTCTTAACCCGAGGTGCTATTTCTGGGTTAGCGGAGTCTGTAACCTGAAGTGTCTGTAACCTGAAGCGTCTGTAACCCGAGGTACCACTTTAGTTGTTTTTTTCCTTGACATCTTGGAGGGTGTTCCACTACTGAGAAGACCCTCTGCCTGGTTCCCTGTAACCTCACTTCTCGCAGGGAGGGAACCGCCAGAAGGCCCTCAGGGCTGGACCTCAGTGTCTGGGCTGAACAATGGGGATGGAGACGCTCCTTCAGGTATACTGGGCCATTTAGGGCTTTAAAGGTCAGCACCAACACTTTGAATTGTGCTCGGAAATGTACTGGGAGCCAATGTAGGTATTTAAAGACAGGTGTTATATGGTCTCAGCAGCCACTCCTCGACTGTATCCCTGGTTTAAAAAGCTGTTTGGGCCTAACTTATATACAGTGGTACCTCGGGTTACATACGCTTCAGGTTACACACTCTGCTAACCTAGAAATAGTGCTTCAGGTTAAGAATTTTGCTTCAGGATAAGAACAGAAATCGGGCTCCGGCAGCGCGGCGGCAGCAGGAGGCCCCATTAGCTAAAGTGGTGCTTCAGGTTAAGAACAGTTTCAGGTTAAGTACAGACCTCCGGAACGAATTAAGTACTTAACCCGAGGTACCATTGTATCTGAGTTTCTAACACTGCAGGCATGTGGCCCTTGGAAGGTTGCAAATAAGCAAATGTGGCCTTCGGGCTGAGAAAGGTTCACCACACCTGTTTTAAATACATACATACACATATATATGTATGCCATTTGCTTCACTCCTGCTTCACTACAGGAGGAGGACGTCACACCCTTAGCCCTGCTGGAAGAGGTCTGCTCGTTGGAGAGTCGCCAGGATGTAGCCACCAAATTAGTCAAGATCTTCCTTGGCCAAGGCTTGGTGCTCCCTTTCTTGGACTATGTGAACCTCCGTGAGGTTTCGAGAACCAGTAAGTAGTTCCTTCATCTGTCACCTTGTGTGTCTGTGTTCCGTTTGAGGTTGGTTGCCCAGGATTGTGGAAGCAGGACCAGTTAGGCGCCTAGGGCTGGGTGTGAGCCCTGCAATTCCATAGCATGAAAGAGAGAACCTGGGTTTCTGAAAACCTTGGTTTTCATTCTTCCATACGAGCAAGTTTCTGGCCCCTAAGGTTGCAGAGAGCGAAGCTTGGAAGCAGCAGTTTCTGGGGGAGCATCTTCGCCGAACCTAAAGACTTCGGTTTGGGACCCAGACACGGAGCAGACTGCTTCTGCAGAGTTGGCCAGTGGGCAGGAGAGCAGATGGTGTGAGAAAAATCCAACGCATTAATGTAGGGGAGCCAGCGTCATTCGCAGGTAGATTTTCTCACTCGTGGTGCTAATTGCAAACCCCCTCTGTGTTCTTTCAGCTGATCCAAACACCCTCTTCCGTTCCAACTCCTTGGCTTCTAAATCCATGGAGCAGTTCATGAAGGTGAGTAAATAGCAGAGGAAGAACCGGCAGGTGGCTATTGCTGAGTTCCATCTCCCTCCCTCTCCCTCTCCCCCCCCTCTCTCTGCACTCTGTGTGTGAGTTTCTGTGAAACATAAGGGGCTGTCCCTGAGCTGCTAGGGTGGTGGTAAATAAACAAATCTGCAACATGTGCCACATTTTCATGGGGTTTGGTTTCGGGTGCGAATGATGCCATTTTGGGGGGGGGAGAGGCAGGGTGGCAAAACACCTGCCATGAAATGAGATGAACCACCCTTTGCAGAGGAAAGAAAAAAAAAATATTTTCACAGCAAACAGGACAAAACCCCCTTTTCTCTCTCTCTCTCTCTCTTTTTTTTGCAAGCACTTGGTGAAAGGAAAAGGGAGAAGTGTCGGCGGTGTGTTGCGTTGCACAAATCAGCTTGTATTCACACACACACACACACACACACACACACACAAACACGCACACACATTGAGCCTTTCCCCCAGTCGGGGATTCAAGGCATCTTTCCTATTAAAAAAAGAGAACAAGCAAATATCTCTCTCTCATTACAATGTAATTATAAAAATAGAATACCATATTTTTCTGTGTATAAGATGTCCCCATGAATAAGACGACCCCTATTTTTTTGAACCCAGAATGAAGAAAACAATATTTTAGGGTTGCCTAAACCCTAAAACGGGACGCAGATGGCGCTGTGGGTTAAACCACTGAGCCTAGGACTTGCCGATCAGAAGGTCGGTGGTTCGAATCCCCGCAACGGGGTGAGGTCCCGTTGCTCGGTCCCTGCTCTTCCCAACCTAGCAGTTCGAAAGCACGTCAAAGTGCAAGTAGATAAATAGGTACCACTCCGGCAGGAAGGTAAACGGCGTTTCCGTGCGCTGCTCTGGTTCGCCAGAAGCAGCTTAGTCTTGCTGACCACATGACCCGGAAGCTGTATACCAGCTCCCTCGGTCAATAAAGCGAGATGAACGTCGCAACCCCAGAGTCAGTCACGACTGGACTTAATGGTCAGGGGTCCCTTTACCTTTACTTAAACCCTAAAACAGAAGTGAAAATCTGGACGATCAGTGGTGGCGGTTGTTGAGTTTTCTTGGGGCGATTGCCGCAACCCCTTATTGCCTTATACACAGAAAAATATGGTAATCATAGAATTGTAGAGTTCCTATGGCAAGTGTAGGGGAACCTCTGACTATTCCTCTGACTATGCCCTGGGAACTGCAGTTCCTATGGCAAAAGATGTGGGACCTCTGACTATTAATAACACAAGAAATCTCTTGATTCTTTGGGGTAAACCATGTGAGTTAACATGTATATCCAGTATACAAGTTTGCAGTAAGGATATATATACACTTTGAACATTTCACCACCGATGAGATGTTTTTAGTTATTTTTTTCTTTCCACCTGAAATATAGTAGTGAGGAATGAAAGTTCCCCCAAAATATCTGCTTTATATACATTATTTACACAATGGGCCGCACGTGATTGACTAATTCCGGGATTCTCCCGTAGGCCAATCAGGTTGCGGATTCACTTCCACCTGGAGCTGGATTGGGTGGCTCCTGCGGACCAATCATACTGCTGCATTGTTCTAGGACCAATCAGACTGCTGCATTCTGGATCCTATTGTTCTAGGGCCAATCAGACTGCTGCATTTTGAATCCTATTCAACTCAGTACATAACACCACCCAGATGTGTGTTTTGGAAAACGTATTTCCCCTTCTTCCTTTCCACCTACCGTAATCCTAACTCTCTGTGATGCGTCAGGTGGTGGGGATGCCTTACCTCCACGAGGTGCTGAAGGCCATCATCAACCGAATCTTCGAGGAGAAGAAGTACGTGGAGCTGGATCCCTGCAAGATTGAGCCGAGCCGGACCAGGTAAGAGGAAGAACACTCAAGAGGGAGCTGAGGTGTGTTTTGCAAAGGACAGAAAAGGAACAGCGGTTGGGAGGAAGGAGGAAAGGAACTCAGGTACTAGATCTCAGCTCCAGGATTCCTTGAGAGGGACAGCTGGACTGGAAAGAGTTCGAGGAGAGGAGGAGTGGGAAGAGAGCGGAGAACACATCACTGTGACATTCAGAGCAAGAGTGTAGGAGAGACGAGGCCGCCTGCTGAGAAATGGGGGGGGGGTAGGGTGCCAAACGCGACGAGAAAATGATTAAAAAACAGTGGTGCATCGGGACGGGTGTCATTCGCAGGTAGAGGTTTTTCCTCACCCAACAGTGCTAATTAAAACAGAAGCAAGAGAGCCTGCCTGGCAGATGATTTATGACTCCAAAAATAATGTTGTGAGTTGGAGGGTGGGGCTGTTAGGGCTGCGTGCCTGAGACCCTTCTAATTCCTGCATGCAGCAAGGGTTCAACGGTTGAATTAGCTGTAATGGTCCCTTAAGTGTGGGCCGTTAAGGTAACAAAGGAAGTGGCTCTGTGCTAGAAATCAAACTGATGCCCCCCTCCCAGCTGTTAGTTAGAAGCATAGCTGTCAACCGTCCCTTATTCGGTGGGAAACTCCCTTATCCCAGTGCCGTGTCCCGCTGCTGTCCCTTACTGATGATGTCCCTTAAATTTCCTGGGTTTCATGCTCGCCCGGCTATGGTTAGAAGGTCAAATGCCAGAAATGAGTTGTGGGTGAGAGAGAGCTAGAAGCTAGAGGCAGGCTGCGCAGCTGAGAGACAAAGCCAAGCCTGTTTTCTGCTGGAATGCAAGGCTGTGGCTACGGGAGAAGCAAGGTCACCTTGGGGTGCTCACACTGTGAGCCCTTCCATCATAGGCTCAGGTTGTATATAGAATCTTAGTGTTGGAAGGGACCCACGGGTCATCTAGTCCAACCCCCTGCAAAGCAAGGATTTCAGGTAAAACATCCATAACAGATGACCATCCAACCTCTGCTGAAAAACCTCCAAGGAAGAAGAGTCCATAATCTCCCAAGGGAGACTGTTCCACTGACAAACAGCTCTTATTGTCATAAAGTTTCCCCATATGTTTAGTTGGAATCTTCCTTTTTTGGAACTTGAAGCCATTGGTTCGAGTCCTACCGCCCAGAGCAGGAGAAAACAAGCTTGTTCCCTCTTCCATGTGACAACCCTTGAGATATTTGAAGATGGCTATCATTTCTCCTCTGAGTCTCCTCTTTTCTAGGCTAAACATACCCAGCTCCTTCAACCGCTCATTGTCAGGCTTGGTTTCCAGCCCTTGATCATCTTGGTTGTCCTCCTCTGCACACGTTACAGCTTGTCAACATCCTTCTTAAATTGTGGTGCCCCGAATTGGACACAGTATTCCAGGTGTGGTCTGACCAAGGCAAAACAGAGTGGGACTATGGCTTCCCTTGATCTGGACACTATACTTCTGTTGATGCAGCCTAGAATAGTGTTAGCTATTTTGCGACTGCATCACATTGTTGATATCCCACAAAACCCACAATCTCTACCGTCCATCATTCCGAGCAAACCAAACTCTGGGTAAGCGTCGGGAACCCGTGGAATCTCGCCCGCCTCAGAGATTGGGGTGGCATGCAACAATAATTTGTCAGAATGTTGTCCACCGAAATAACAAACAACTTAGCAAGGTCTGATTTGTTATGTATTCAGAGGTCTGAGCTTGAGTCTGGACTAAGCATTCTGAGCTCCTGTGTTCTGATTCAATACATGATATCTAATCACAGAACTTTTCAGGATTCTAGCCTCTGCCATTGGCCCTTAAACTCTGAGTTATGATTCGCAGCTTGGAAGTTTAGACAGCCAATCACGTTGGGAGTGGGAGTGGCCCAGGCCTTCAGAAATGTATACTGTATAAGCAGTTGCTTTGCCCCTGTTGTCCAGTTCTGTTAGTTCAATAAAGGTTCTTGCTGTTATATCTGTGTCTTGTCTCGTGAGCAGCTGTCTGCACTTCACTCTTCTTATGTTCTTCTCTCTGAATTTAGCTGCATTAAACATTGCAGACCTTTCTGAACTGGACGACACATACATATTTAATCTTAGCCGTATCACTGAGGGGAGATACCACCGCTAACATCTCTAAATATTGATACATGGGTGTTTCATACAGTTTAAGGCTTTTTGAGAAAAGTACTATGCTAACCCCAAGCTATCCGAAAGACTATTCCCTCATACGGACCTACCCAGGATCTGAGATCTTTGGGGAAGGCTCTTCTCTCAGTCCTGTCACCCTCACAAGCACACTTGGTGGGGATGCAGGACAGGGCCTTCTCAGTGGCTTCTCCCAGACTTTGGAACTCCCTCCCTAGAGAACTCAGACTGGCTCCCTCCTTGCTGTCCTTCTGCCAACAGGTGAAGACTGTTTTATTCCAACAGACTTTTATGAAATCACTGGCTTGCATGTGTGTGTGTGTGTGTGTGTGTGTGTGTGTGTGTATGAACGAGCTTTTAAATGGTGGCGTGCTGCATTTTAATCAATCTGCTTTTAACTTGTTTTAATTCTATAGTTTAATTACTTTCCCCCCAATTATCTTTTGTACATGTTTTAGCCTTCTGTATTTTATCTGTGTTGTCTTCATTTGGGTAAGCTGCCTTGAGTCTCCGTCTGGGAAAAAGGTGGGATGTAGATAAGAACAACAACAGATAATCATGTGATAAGGCCGCTGTGGTGTGGCAAGTGTTAACAGCTGACATATTTGTACACTATGCTTGTGTTATGTGACGGACGACAGCCTCAGCCGTGCCTGCAGAAGAGCGTCATACAGACGGAGGGTATTTCTGCTGAAATGGCTAATAGGACATTAGCACTGAGGATGTGGGGCTGGCTCACGGAAAGGATTCCGGCTGCTCTAGAGATAGAAGCCTTCCTGGGAGAGATGCTCTTTGTGCAGGTTGCTAGGCAACACCATCTCCGAGATGCTGCCAGAGTGTGACATTGGCAGGGATGCTCAATGTGGATTTGCTGAGGGTCTGACTGCTGAAAAACAGGGAAGTTTGGGTGGAACCCAGCTTGCTGAGAGGGGTTTGCAGTGGGTTAAAACAAGCAGAGTAAGGGACCATATACAGTGCATTACAATAACTCAGCCTTGAGGTTAACAATGCATGAACTTACAGTGGCGAGTCCAAGGACAGCCATAGCTGGTGGACCAGATGGAGCTGGTATTTTCTTACTCTGCAAACATCTCTGTGGGCAATTGCAGCAGGTAGTCTAATCTCTAGCCAAATTCACAAGCCATACACACACCAAAGAGCTGCTCCAGTGAGTAACTGAGCTCAGTTTCAATATCTTCTCTGTGTCTGGAGCTTGTAACAATCAGCAGGGGGCAGCACTGTGTGGTGGTTGAGTTATGTGTGGGTCAAGGTCTCTCGTGCACGTCACCCACCCATCCCCACCCCACGTTTTCCATTTCTCTCAGGCGGATCTCTTTCAAAAGCTCCCTGTCAGAGGCCCAGATCCGAGAAAGCAGCCTGGAGGTGCTGACAGGATACCTGGGTGACATTGTGGAGTCCATCGTGAGCTCTACGGAAAAATGTCCCCCCATCATGCGAGTGGCTTTCAAACAGCTGCACAAGCGAGTGGACGACCACTTCCCAGAGGCAGAGAATCAGGTGTGACATTTTCTGTCCCATAACCACTCCCTCCGCCAAATAGCAAGTCTTGGGGAGGTCATTCATCATCCATGTTTCCAAGGGATTTGGCGTTCTGCGATCCAAGCTGCTTCTGCTGGGGTTGGTTAAGCAAAAGTTAGGGAGGTCAACAGTAGGTGGCGCTGGACCCAATGATAGGCAGACACAGCTCAGAAAAGTGATTACCCCTCCCTTTGTGCTTTCTGTAAGCACATCATTGGCCACATTCACACCATACATTTAAAGCACAGTCGTACCTTGGTTTTTGAACAGCCTAGTTCTCAAACATTTGGGTTCCTGAACGATCAAACCTGGAAGTAACTGTTCCGGTTTATGAACATTCTTTTGAAAGCCAAACATCCGACGGAGCTTCCACGGCTTCCTGCAGCCAGCCAGAAGCTGTGATTTGGAAGTCAAATGCTTTGGAAGTCGAACGGACTTCCAGAATGGATTCTGTTGGACTTCCAAGGTACGAATGTACTATGATACCATTTTAAACAGTTATGGCTTCCCCCAAAGAATTCTGGGAGCTGTAGTTTGTTAAGGGTGCTGAGATTTGTTAAGAGACCCCATTCACAGAGCTACAATTCTCAGAGTAAAGGTAAAGGGATCATTAGGTCCAGTCGTGACTGACTCTGGGGTTGTGGCGCTCATCTCGCTTTATTGGCCGAGGGAGGTGGCATACAGCTTGCGGGTCATGTGGCCAGCATGACTAAGCCACTTCTGGCGAACCAGAGCAGTGCACGGAAACGCCGTTTACCTTCCCGCCGGAGTGGTACCTATTTATCTACTTGCACTTTGACGTGCTTTCGAACTGCTAGGTTGGCAAGAGCAGGGACCGAGCAATGGGAGCTCACCCCGTCGCGGGGATTCGAACCGCTGACCTTCTGACCGGCAAGTCCTAGGCTCTGTGGTTTAACCCACAGCGCCACCCGCGTCCCAATTCTCAGAGTAGTTCAACAATAAATCCTTCTTTGCAGGGAACCCTTGGATGCAACTCAAAGTTTAGTTTGGGTGTGTGGTGTGCTTTAGCAATGGCTGTTTGGCAATGGAAAACTTTTTTTATAATTGTGATCAGTCCTAACTTCTGGCGTCTTTCCTTTCCTTTCAGGATGCCAAATACATTGCCATCAGTGGGTTCCTCTTCCTTCGCTTCTTTGCTCCGGCCATCCTGACCCCCAAGTTGTTCAACCTCCGAGACCAGCATGCAGACACCCAGACCAGCCGGACCCTCCTGCTCTTGGCCAAGGTAACAGTCAGCATCCTGCTCTCACTGTGGCCAACCAGATGCCCCAATGGGAAGCCTGCAAGCAGGATCCGAGCACAAGGGCCTTCTCCCATCCTGGGGGTTCCAGTAGCTGGTACGCAGAAGCATTGCTGCCTCTGACCATCATGGTTGTTAGCCATCACCAAACCCTCCAAGTGTCCCTATTTTCCAGGGACAGTCCTGGATTTACAGAAGCCGTCCTGGTTTCTGATTCGATCCTGAAATGTCCCACTTTTCCTTAGGATGTCCCTTTTTTCATCAGAGAAATGTTGGAGGGTATGGAATAGGACGTCTCTATTTTCATTGGAGAAATGTTGGAGGGGACGTCTATTTTCATCGGATGGAGGGTATGGAATAGGACACCTCTATTTTCTTTGGAGAAATGTTGGAGGGGATGTCTCTATTTCCATCAAAGAAATGTTGGAGGGTATGGAATACAATGTCTCTATTTTCATTGGAGAACTGTTGGGCAGAACTTTCTATTTTCATTGGTTAAATGTTGGAGGGTATGCCTCATGTGGAAACAAGTTCCTCTCTTTAACTATGTACAGTGGTACCTCGGGTTACAGACGCTTCAGGTTACAGACGCTTCAGGTTACAGACTCCGCTAACCCAGAAATAGTACCTCAGGTTAAGAACTTTGCTTCAGGATGAGAACAGAAATCATGTGGCGGCGGTGCGGCGGCAGCAGGAGGCCCCATTAGCTAAAGTGGTGTCTCAGGTTAAGAACAGTTTCAGGTTTAAGAACGGACCTCCAGAACGAATTAAGTTCTTAACCCGAGGTACCACTGTACTGCGTGAAGAAAAGACTTTCTTTTCTCTCTTCTGAATCTTCCAACATTCAGCTCCATTTGATGCCCACAAGTTAGGAGAGAGGAGGGAAAACCACCACTTGTATCTCCATGCATAATTTTATAAACCTCTATCATGCCACTTCATACTTGATTTTTCTCTAAACTAAAAATTCCTAAAAGCTGTGCCCTTTCTTCGCATGGGAGTCACTTCATCCCTTTGATCATTTCGGTTCCTGTGAGGGCACAGCAGGCCAAGCTTTAGAGACTCTTCCCACTAGACTTTTATGAACTGGTCCTTCCCTTCCCCTGGAGTCACCTCTTTGTCTATTTCTGTCTCTCTCTTCCCCCCCCCCCCGGAAGGCAGTGCAGAGCATTGGCAACCTGGGGCTTCAGCTGGGTCACGGCAAGGAGCAGTGGATGGAACCTTTGCACCCCTTCATCCTGTCTAGCATTGGGCAAGTCAAGGAGTTCCTGGATTGGCTCATCAACGTGGACTGCGAGAACGGTGAGCTCTAATGGGCCACGTGTCCAGGAAGCTGGGACTCAGGGTACGGGTGGGAATTTGATTCTGCTTGCAAATAATAATAATAATATAGATAGATAGATAAATAAATAAATATATTATTATTTATACCCCACCAATCTGGCTGGGTTTCCCCAGCCACTCTGGGCAGCTCCCAGCAAAATTAAAAGCACAATGAACTATCAAACATTAAAAACTTCCCTAAACAGGATTGCCTTCAGATGTCTTCTAAAAATCAGATAGTTGTTTATTTCCTTGACATCTGATGGGAGGGCGTTCCACAGGGCGGGCGCCACTACCGAGAAGGCCCTCTGCCTGGTTCCTTCTAACCTCGCGGTGAGGGAACCGCCAGAAGGCCCTTGGAGCTGGACCTCAGTGTCCGGGATGAACAATGGGGGGTGGGGTGGAGATGCTCCTTCAGGTACACAGGGCCGAGGCCGTTTAGGGCTTTAAAGGTCAGCACCCTTTGAATTGTGCTCGGAAACGTACTAAATGCAAACTTACCTAGTTCACACTTTGCAAAACAATACATGCACCTGAATAAAATATATACCAATATACACACTGTTTCAGTGACCACAAGACCAAGGCCCAATCCACACCGTACGTGGAAAGCACTATGGTACCACTTTAAACACCCGTGGTTTCCCCCAGAGAATTGTGGGAGCCGTATTTTGTTGATGGTGCCAAGAGTTGTTAGGATGCCCCTATTCCCCTCCCAGAGCTACAATTCCCAGAGTTCCTTGGGAAGAGAGATTGATTCTTCAACCACTCTGAGAATTGTAGCTCTGTGAGGAGAGGAGGGGTCTTCTCACAACCCTCAGCAAGCACCCTTAATAAACTATGACTCCCGGGCTACTTTGGGGACCCCTATTCCCTTCTTAGTGGTAAAGTTGGAACAGAAAATGATGTCTTCTTCAATCTCTAGACCGGGAGCTCAGGAGTTACAGCCAGGGGACTCCTCTCCAGCACTTGCCACCTGAGGCCACTGCCTCATTGTGCCTAATGTTAGGGCCGGCCCTGTACAATTTGCATGCATGTATACAGGAGCCTTGGGGTGGTTTTTAGCCCTGGCCAAAGCAATAACGGGGGGGGGGGGTGTTCACAGGGTTCCAAGGCTTTTAGCATATGAGAAATCAGTGTGCCTCCCTTTCTTTTCTCCAGGAGCAAGTGAGAAGAAGCCCTGGACGCTCTTCCACCCCTCGGCCACCATCAAGGAGGGCTACCTCAACAAGCGCAAGGCTGAGGGCCTCCACTTGGTCTCGCGGTTCACCTTCAAAAAACGCTACTTCTGGCTGAGCAACGAGAGCCTTTCGTATTCCAAATCTCCCGAGTGGCAGGTGGGAACCTTTCCCCAGAGGGGGGGCAGAGGGCGGAGGACACAAGGGGAACACAAAAACTCAGGGTTGCAGGCCATTCAAAGGTGTGTCTTATCCACAACAAAGCAAACAGTCAAAGGGCAGTGAAGTGCAGATTCACGAGGCAAGACGCAGTGATAACAGCAAGAACCTTTATTGAACTACATAACTGGACAACAGGGGCAAAGCAACTGCTTATATACATTTCTGAAAGCCTGGGCCACTCCCTCTCCCAACATGATTGGCTGTCTAAACTTCCAAGCTGCGAATCATGACTCAGAGTTTAAGGGCCAATGGCAGAGGCCCAAATCCTGAAATGTTCTGTGATTGGATATCATGTGTCGAATCAGAACACAGGGGCTCAGAATCCTTAGTCCTGGCTCAGGCAAACACAGACCACAGACTACGTAATAGACAGCTTTTGCCCGATGAGGCGTTGCTTCTCAGGACCTCTCAGGAGCTGCGCCTGGGCCAGGAGTGACGAACATTTTCCAGCCAGGGGCCGCATTGCCTTCCAGGCAACATCCCAAGGGCCACATCCCAAAGTGTGGGGGACCAAAGGTAAAAGTAGGTGGAGCAATGAGGTCATGTTTGCTTTTGTGCAGTGGTCTAGTTCGTCTACACAGACACTGTTCTCTGCCCAGGCTAGCAAGAGGCATGAACAGAGTTCAAGGACACATCTTGCCCAGGCAAAAGCACTCGAAGGGGGTGTAAATAAGGGCCAGTGAGGGGTGTGGCTTGTGGATGTGAGGGGTGTTGCCTGAGAGAAAGGCCTAGAGAGCTGAAATTGGGCTTCAGACCTGAAGTGCCCCATCACTACCTGGAACACATTCCTTAAAATCTGCACTGCAGACCCTCCAAGTGTCCCTATTTTCCAGGAACAGTCCCAGTTTTGCAGAAGCTGTCTCGGTTTCTGATTTGATCCCGGAATGTCCCACTTTTCCTTAGGACGTCTCTATTTTCATTGGAGAAATGTTGGAAGGTACAATGAGTTGTGAGCTGGTCTCGAGCCTCTTTTAACTGCCACGGGAGTTAAACTCACAGTCCGTTGAGAGGAACCTCAGCTGTTCTGAAAGGCCTGGTTCCTTCAAAGGACTTCCAGGAGCAATTTCAGGTAGCAGAAAGTGCTCCTGGCTCCCCGCCAAAGATCATAGATAGCATTGTAAGGAAAGAGCCGTTTTAAAATCCTGTATTTGGAGCGAAATGCGGTCAGTATTAAGAGTTGGCTCAATCATAACACTAGTCACGGTGAGTTTTGTCAAGAGTTTGCAAGTCCACTTCAAACTCTGCTTTGCACCTAAGCGTTTTTGACAAGGGTTGGTTAAATTTTGCATTTTTGTTAGGGAAGTAAGAGGTGACATGGTAGAGGCTGGTAAAATGTTGTGTTGGGTGGAGAAAGTGGAGAGAGAGAAAAGTTTTTCTCCCTCTCTCATAACAACTGGAAATCGCAGACATTCAGTGTCCTAGGAGATCCAAGACAGAGCAAAGAAAGGACTTCTTCAGCCACAGTTGAACTGTGGAACTCACTGCCACAGGAGGCAGGGATGGCCACCAACCCTAGCTGGCTTTAAAAGAGGATGCGACAAATTCGTGGAGGAGAAGGCTATCAGTGGCCATGATGGTTATGCTCTGGCCCAGTGGTCAGAGGAAATAATACTTCCAAATAACAGCTACTGGAAACCACAGGAGGGAAGAGGGCTCTTGTGTTCGAATCCTGCTTGCTGGTTTCCCACAGGCTGGCCATTGTGAGGGCAGGATGCTGAGTCAGATGGGCCATTAGCCTGATCCTGCAGGCTCTTCTTCAGTTCTCAGTTCACCATGTTGGCTGGGGTGGTGCCCGTAAATTGGCAAAATGCTTCCTGAGGAAGGGCTGGAGATTCGAGAGCTGTGTTTCCCCCTTGATGAACAGGGCGGTGTGTTGGGTTTCTTCTCCCATGGCCAGGTTCGGACATCCATCCCCGTCCAGCAGATCTGCGCCGTGGAGCGTGTGGATGAGAATGCATTCCAGCAGTCGCACATGATGCAGATTACAACGCGGGAAAATGGAGGGCAGCTGTCCACCATGTACATCCAGTGCAAGGTAGGGTATGCATGCGACCATCGTTAATCTGGCTTTGAGAATGTGATGGCTGCTCTTTTTCTTTAGGAATTCCCTTTGCATCGCTCCTCTTGGCCTGCTATGAACTTATGATTCTTGCAATAGGGCATTGTTGCTATATATGTACATCCAGTGCAAGGTAGGATGTGGATGCGACCATCGTTAATCTGGCTTTGAGAATGTGATGGCTGCTCCTTTTCTTTAGCAATTCCCTTTTCATTGCTCATCTTTTTTTCCTAAAATCATTTTTATTAATTTTTGCATATGTTTTCCAAACAAAACTTCACATCACATCATCCTCATTTTGGCTATTATAGCCTGAGACTTCCATCAATCCTGTCTAGTGATTTTCAAATTTGCTAACCCAGAAATAGTACCTCGGGTTAAGAACTTTGCTTCAGGATGAGAACAGAAATCGTGCAGCGGCAGCGGGAGGCCCCACTAGCTAAAGTGGTGCTTCAGGTTAAGAACGGTTTCAGGTTAAGAACAGACCTCTGGAATGAATTACGTACTTAACCTGAGGTATCATGTACCAGCGGCAAATAAATGAGTGAGGGGAAATGGCGCCACCTACTGACCGGCGCTCTCTTTTCTCCGGCAGAACGTCAACGAGCTCAACCAGTGGCTCTCAGCTATCCGGAAAGTGATGGTCTCCAATGACTGCCTGCTGCCCTTTTGCCACCCGGGTGCCTTCCGCGGCAGCCGCTGGACCTGCTGTTTACAGACCGACCGTGCAGGTAACTTAACTTGCGCCCATGCTCACATATGCTGGCCTGGGGGCACCAAAGGCACCTTAGCGAGGATAATGCAGAGCTGCCCTCTTTATGCAATTAGAAGAGTTCAGATTTGATATCCTGCTTTATCATTACCCTAAGGAGTCTCAAAGCAGCTAACAATCTCCTTTCCCTTCCTCCCCCACAACAAACACTCTGTGAGGTGAGTGGGGCTGAGAGAATTCAGAGAAGTATGACTAGCCCAAGGTCACCCAGCAGCTGCATGAGGAGGAGCGGGGAAGCGAACCCACTTCACCAGATTACGAGTCCGCCACTCTTAACCACTTCACCACCCTGACTCTCAGGGTGTTGTGGTTTTTAAAATCTGAATTTCAGCGAAGCTTTGTTTGCTGTGCAATTGGGATGGAGCCTCCCTCCATAGGAATTGTCCCCTCTCCCTCACCACCTCCCACCCCACTTCTCAAGGTTGTCGCCTGACCTACTTTCTTTGAAGGTGTGGACAGTTAGGGCAAAGGCCCTGCCCCACGAACCTAGGCTGCCATCGGCCAGCTCCCACTTGCCTGCCCCTCTTCTGTATAACCAGTCCAGGGAGGGGTGATGACTGTCAGATAATAATAGTAATAATAATAATAATAATAATAATAAATAATAATATATTATTTATACCCCACCCATCTGGCTGAGTTTCCCCAGCCACTCTGGGCGGCTCCCAATCAAGTGTTAAAAACAATACAGCATTAAATATTAAAAACTTCCCTAAACAGGGCTGCCTTCAGATGTCTTTTAAAGATAAGATAGCTGCTTATTTCCTTCACATCTGAAGGGAGGGCATTTCACAGGGCGGGCACCACCACCGAGAAGGCCCTCTGTCTGGTTCTCAGTGTTGCCCCTTGTAATACTCAGCAGGAGGAGGTTGGAGATAAAACTAGAATCAGTTGGCTTCTCCAACCTCTCACTTGCTCTGGCGCCCCCTACTGTTGGGCTCCCTGGCGTCTGCCCAATGAGCACCATCCACTTCCAGGCCTGGGGTCAGGTATTCTGCACCCTTGAGCAGAGGCCAGGTCCCCAGTATTTTGGCAGAACCCGCCTTATTTTAAAGGATTCCCCCCCCCCGACAAGATCCTTTTGGGACAAGTGCGTCGGCCAAATCCAGATCAGGCCCTGCACTGTGCAGCCACTCATGGCTTCCCTCATGGGTTGTGGTTTGGTTACAGTTCGGGGCTGCAGCCGCACGCACTCAGCCGTGACCCTCGGCGACTGGAGCGACCCACTGGACCCAGACACAGAGGCGCAGATGGTGTACCGGCAGCTTCTCTTGGGCAGAGACAAGCTCAGGTGTGTGTAAGGCGATGCACCGTCATGCTGGTGGCAGTGGTAGTGGTGGTCATGGGGGAGGCATAGGACTAGCTCTACTCAGAGTAGACCCATTGGAGTTAACGGGTGTGGCGAAGAGAAAAGGAGACACAGCCAAAAGCCTACTTTTTGTGGTGTCAGCTCTTTATCATGAGAGCATACAGTTAGGGGGTCCCTCAAAGGACATCTAGTCCAACCCTTTGCCATTGCAGGAAATCCTGCGTACGAAGAAAGCCTTAGAATAATAGAATTGTAGAGTTGGAAGGGATCACAAGGGCCGTCTAGTCCAGCCCCCTGCAATGCAGCGAGCTTTTGCCCAATGTGGGATTCAAACCCACAACCCTGAGATTAAAGAGTCTCAATTCTCTACTGACTGAACTATACTAGAAGTCAAAACAGGAAGCCTGCTTAAATTGCCATACTCTAACCATTAATTTGGGATGCGGATGGCGCTGTGGGTTAAACCACAGAGCCTAGGACTTGCCGATCAGAAGGTTGGCGGTTCGAATCCCTGCGACGGGGTGAGCTCCCGTTGCTCGGTCCCTGCTCCTGCCAACCTAGCAGTTCGAAAGCATGTCAAAGTGCAAGTAGATAAATAGGTACCGCTCTGGTGGGAAGGTAAACAGCGTTTTCGTGTGCTGCTCTGGTTTGCCAGAAGCGGCTTAGTCCTGCTGGCCCGCTGTATGGCGGCTCCCTCGGCCAGTAAAGCGAGATGAGCGCCGCAACCCCAGAGTCATCAGTGACTGGACCTGACTGTCAGGGGTCCCTTTACCTTTACCTTTTAACCATTAATTTGAATGGGTCTACAACTCAAAGAGCCCACAAACCAAGTAGGGGTGACGTAAGAGGATAGCTTAGTTGGTTAGACCGTGGTGCAAATAACGCCAAGGTTGCAGGTTCGATCCCTGTGTGGGACAGCTGCATATTCCTGCATTGCAGGGGGTTGGACTAGATGATCCTCAGGGTCCCTTCTAACTCTACAATTCTATGATTCTATGAAGGTGCCTTCCTGGTGCCAATAAACATGTCAGATATACCCTAAGGGAGCCAAAGTCAGACTGCAATACCAGATGTCCCCACCAGAGGCCACCTCTTCATTAAGGAATTTCCACTGCTATCAACATCAGCCATTCTTTCTAAGAGGAAGATGGGGCAATTTGGCTTTTAAAAATCAAAAGGTCAAGATCTCATCACAGACCACATAGGGGGCCTCAAGCCTGAGGAAAACATCACTGCTGAATAGCAGAGCACATTCTTTGTACTAAGAAGGGTCCAAATTCAACCCAAAGCAGCTCCAGTTAAAAATGGCTCAGTATTTGACCACCAAAAGGTTCAAAATTTATTCACTTATTGTTGGCTTTAGTGCACAAGATCTGATCCTGGACTAATCTTGGCTAGGACAGTGTCAGCCTGCCAGTTTCAATAGTTCTGGATTTCTTGGGGAGAAATCCAGAAAAGTGTAAAATTGTTATCGTTAATTTATTAAGTGTTCTGTGTGCTGCTCTGGTTCGCCAGAAGCGGCTTAGTCATGCTGGGCACATGACCTGGAAGCTGTATGCCGGCTCCCTCAGCCAATTAAGCGAGATGAGCACCGCAACCCCAGAGTCGGCCATGACTGGACCTAATGGTCAGGGGTCACTTTAGCTTTACCTTTAGGAGTCTCTAAGACGCAGGTGGTGCTGTGGGTTAAACCACAGAGCCTAAGGCTTGCCGATCGGAAGGTCGGTGGTTCGAATCCCCGCGACGGGGTGAGCTCCCGTTGCTCTGTCCCTGCTCCTGCCAACCTAGCAGTTCGAAAGCACATCAAAGTGCAAGTAGATAAATAGGTACCACTCCGGCGGGAAGGTAAACGGCGTTTCCGTGCGCTGCTCTGGTTCGCCAGAAGCAGCTTAGTCATGCTGGCCACATGACCCGGAAGCTGTACGCCGGCTCCCTCGGCCAATAAAGCGAGATGAGCGCCGCAGCAACCCCAGAGTCGGTTACGACTGGACCTAATGGTCAGGGGTCCCTTTACTTTTACCTTTTAGGAGTCCTTAAGTGATTTTATAAATTCTAAGAGCCTGGCATAAAATTGGGGTGGTGGTGGTGGGAATACATTACAGTAAATGCCGTGCATACAATAACCTATTGAAAAAGAAACAGCAAATTCGTCATAATCCATGCCGAACACCTGGGACACCCAGCTAAGGGTGACAGCCACACAATGCACTGGACGCCCCAGGAGGGGAGAGGCTCTTGTGCTCAGGCCCTGCTTGTGGGCTTTTCACTGGGGCACCTGGTTGGCTATGCTAAGAGGTAGAGGTAAAGGACCCCTGGATGGTGAAGTCCAGTCAAATGCGACTATGGAGTATGGCGCTCAGGCCGAGGGAGCTGGCATTTGTCCACAGACAGCTTTGTCAGTGGCCAGCAATGCTGGTGCTTTTTTTCTTTAAAAAATGTTTAGGGGTACTCTCATTTTGTCTCAAGAAAATCACCATTTTATAGTTCAAATGGGGGAAAATAAATACAGTGGTACCTTGGTTCTCAAACGCCTTGTTCTCAAACAACTTGGAACCCAAACACTGCAAACCCGGAAGTAAGTGTTCCGGTTTGCAAACGTTTTTCGGAAGCCGAACGTGCTCCGTTTTGAGGGCCACGCTTCCATTTTGAGTGTTACGCTGAGGTCTGTCTGTTTTTGCTATTTATTTTGCGTTCTCGTTTTTGCGGCTTTTGTTTTGTTTTTGTGACAGTGTGGAACCCAGTTCAGCTACGGATTGATTGTGTGACTGCAGTACATTGTTTATTGCTTTCGTTTTATGGATCGGTGGTCTTGTTAGATAGTAAAATTCATGTTAAATTGCTGCTTTAGGGGTTGTTTTTTAAAGTCCGGAGTGGATTAATCCATTTTGCATTACTTCCTATGGGAAAACGTGCCTTGGTTTTGGAACGCTTTGGTTTTGGAACGGGCTTTCAGAACGGATTAAGTTTGAGAACCAAGGTACCACTGTACAATAAATGGACAAAAGTACAAAGATTCACAAAATGTTTAGGGGTATGCGTAGCCCCCCCCCCAAGAAAAGCGCTGAGCATGGCTAAACTGCTATTGGTGCATGCTGGACCAGGTGGGCCACTGGCCTGATCCAGAAGGTCTCTCCTTATGTCCCTATCTCTGTTTTAGCAAGAGATGGCAGGGATCCAGCCTTCGGCATTGCAAAGCACAATGCAAAGCTTGTGGTCATCTCTCCCCAGGAAGTAACATCCCGCACCCTGTTAAGGGAGGAACATGAGCAGGCTGTAGAATGAACGGCAATTTCCTCTGGTTCTCGAGTTTAATTACTTGTCTTGTCAATTCAAGTAAAAACTGTGATGGATAATCGGAGGGCCCGGGCCTCCTGGGTTATGAGTGATGGAGCTTTTGATTGCTGCTTCACTCTCCCGTTGTTGCGCCTGTTGTGACGTCGCTCCCATCTGAATGAGCCGCCTGATTGATAGCATCAATCTGCTAGAGAAGCGAGCGGAGCGGATGGCTTCCTGCCGCCAGATCTGATGGTTGGGCCTTCAGCACATTTCCCAATGCAAAATTGTAATAAAGAAATAGAGTACAGTGGTACCTCGGGTTACAGACGCTTCAGGTTACAGACTCCGACAACCCAGAAATAGTACCCCGGGTTAAGAACTTTGCTTCAGGATGAGAACAGAAATTGCACGGCGGTGGCGCGGCGGCAGCAAGAGGCCCCATTAGCTAAAGTGGTGCTTCAGGTTAAGAACGGTTTCAGGTTAAGAACGGACCTCCAGAACGAATTAAGTTCTTAACCCGAGGTACTACTGTATATATTTTTTCTTTTTAAATAAAAAGGGTTTCCTTTGTGTGAATGCCTTGTCCCTTTGCCTTAAAGTGAAGGTGGTTCTTAGAGTTGGTAACAATTATTTCCCATGGAAACGGAACTAGCATGCTCCCCCCAATTTTTAATATATTTTTTCACTTATTTATACGAAAAAAAATCAACTTAAATAAATCAGCTTAAATAAATAGACACTTGGGGCTTCTTTGAGGGCAGAATTGTTGCCTGTTGGCTTGCTTTTCAAAGCCTGCAATTTAACGATTGAAAATGGAGTCCTATGCATGTTTACTCAGAAGTAAGCCCCATTGCCTTCCATGATACTGGCTCCTTGGGAAGTGTAAATAGCAAGGAAGGGAACCTTGAGCTCAAGAGTCAATTCATCTTCTCTTTATCTGATGCTTGGCCACATCCCTTCACCAGGCCACACCCCCTCACCAGGCCACACCCCTCACCAGGCCACACCCCTTACCAGCCCTGCCTCGTACCCTTCTTGAGTGTTCTTTGCCTGGCTGGAATGTGCCCTTGAACTCTGATGAAGCCTCTTGCTTGCCTGCATGGAGGGATAGATAAGGGTACGTGAATGTGTATAGAAACTAGCCTACTCTACAGAGGTAAAATTTATATCGATTGCTCCACTCACTTTTCCCTCTGTCTCCGCCCACCCCTGGCATTTGGCCCTCAGAAGGTTGCCCAGAATGAAATGCAGCCCTCTGGCTGAAGAAGCCTCCCTGCCTGTAGTGTATTGGGTTGCAGCCCTTGGGAGTTTGATTGCGCAGTTCAATTAGCTTGCAGCCTTGTATCAAATTATTCCTACCTTTCCCTAGGGAGAAATACCTGGAATTTTCAAGCACGGGGGCCACACAGGAGCAAAGCAGCGGGGCCCGGAAAGGTAGGTCTCTATTCCTCTTCTGTTGTCAGAGATGTAAGTTGAGTAATTCTGCCTCCGAATCCAGGGTTTGACTTCCTGGCATTGTGATTATGCTTGCATGATGTGTGTGATGTGGCTCAGCCTGTGAGGCTTTCTCGTTGCTCATTCTGGAACTACCTTCCATCAATCGCCACAGCGCCTGGATTTTGCTCGTTTAATCTTCTATGGTCATTACAAGAACTTTAAGCCTGAGTTTGCCTTTTTCCTCCTCCCTCCTCCTCCCTTTTTCCTTTTGGGTCACAGCACTGTAAGCCTGAGGACAGAGGCTGACTTGCGACTCAACGTCCTGAGAGCCTTTCTGGTTAAGCAGCATTGCTTAAAATCCTTTAAAATAAAATAATAAACAGTTCCCGTGACATTTTGGGGAGGGGTGTTGTCACTAAACGTTGCCAGCTTTTGTGTGAGCAGAAGTGGGGAAGTGGAATTTGATACCCTTATCAGATTTCATGTCTCTGGTTTTGCTGTTGCGCTCTATGAGCCCCACCCCACACCCTGCCCCCTTGGTCACAAGCTGGTTAGCAGTTACCTCCTCCCCCCCCCCCTTGAAAAAGCCCATGGAGCTGAAGGAGGAAGTTGGAAGAGGGACACTCTATCTCACTTCCTCCTTCAGCTCTACGGGCTTTTCAAGGCTCAGAATAGTTCCACAAAACTCCCTCAAAATTCCAGATGTTCCCAGAGGCCTATAAAGCTGGGCAGCCCCTTTGGGATGGAGGGTCTGAGCCAATTGGGGTCCACCTGGCTGCCTCAGAGGGAAGAGATGAGGCAGTGAAACCTCCTCTGTCAGCATCCCTGAGACCCACTGCCATTTGGATGCTCCCCCCTCCCCAGAGCAGCCTATGTCAGCAGCTCCAGGACCCGAATTCTGCTTATTCCCCTTTTCCTGTTCCCTGTTGTATCCTGCCTGTTATGTAAAACTGTGAGCTGCTTTGAGTAGCAGCAGGAAATGAGTAATAAGGATGTGAGTTGCTGGCAGGTCTCACTACTGCAGCCAGCATTCTCTCTGCCTCTCTCTCCAACTGTCCTGGTTTGCCTCGGTGGTCCTCAGCAGAGAATATCTGGTGGTCATTGACTGCCAGCATCACTATGCTTTAAACAGAGGCCTCCTAAATTTACTGCCTTCTCAGCCCACTAACAGTCACCAGAATCCTAAACTGAGAACAGCGGAGATCATACCAAGTTCAACTTAAGGGTTAACTCTGTGTTAGTCAACTAGCCAAGCCGGTGAGTGAAGGTGTTGCTTAGCAACGAGGCACTGACATGATCCTTGCTGAGGTAGCACATGCTCTGATTGACTGTGTAGATCTGGGAGAGTTTTTCCAAGGGCTTCCATTTGGCTTCTTCCCAAGAAGAAGAGTGTTAGGAGACCCCCTTACTTCTCTCACAGAACTACAATCCCCAGAGTGGTTTAACAAGGAATCGTTCTTCTCAAGGAACTCTGGGAAATGTAGTTCTGTGCGGGGGGGGGTTGTCTCCTAACAACTCTCAGCACTCTCAACAAACTGCAGTTTGCTTCAGGATCTCCTTTCTCCGTAGATCTTTATGCTCCCTCTGCCAGAGATCTTGCAGCACCTCCCTCATGGGAAGGAATTGCCTCATGGTTTCAAGGACCATTGTGCTACCAGCAAAAAGAGGCACGTTGATGCACTCCCAGCAAATTCACCTTTCACTCCCCTCACAAAAGCTGCTGTTTGCCATCCTTTTGTTGCCGGATCTTCTCTCCCCTTCCCCTTCGGAAAAGCTGAGTGATGTCACAGCAACTCGGCCAATCCGTGCTGTAGTGTGGGGCTAGCTTTACGTTCTGTTGTGTGTCCAACTGACAAATTCTAAACTTAGCATTCCCTCGCTCTCCTGAAAGCTGGAAATTAAGGACCTTGGCCCTCCCCAGTGGGTCTCCCGGATCCATGGGAATGGCGAGGTCTCTTCCGCTCTGCCATCGCACGACAATGAGGGCTCTGTGCGTCCTTAATCAAGTGTGAACAATTCCATCTCCTGGATGGTTGACCAATGTTCACGAGGCTGGAAAGCAAAGCGTCCTTGAGGTAGTAAGGAGGGACGAGGTGGGGGCCTCCAGATGAAAGTCTTGACTATGGGCCAATGGGATGGGGGCTTCTCTGAAGTACAACACGACTTGACAGTTCCTAGGGGAGCCCAGCAGGATGTAGCTCCTGTGCTGAGAACCGAAGGCCACATAGGCCACTTCCCATCCCCGGTGGGTTCTTAGTTGCATCTTCTGCATCTGAATCTACAGCGTCTTCAGTTGAATCTTGCATTTCACCATTCCCCGTCCAGGTTCTGTCCATTTGGCCAGTCTCAGATTGACATATTGAAATATACTCGGAGTCGAGAGTGGATTTCATGCTCTTTATTCAGCTCATAGTGGTGAGGAGGAATGGAAGTTCCCCCAGAATGTCTGCTTTATATACATTATTTACACAATGGGCCCCACATGATTGGCTAATTCCGGGATTCTCCTGTAGGCCAATCAGGTTGCGGATTCACTTCCACCTGGAGCTGGATTGGGTGGCTCCTGTGGACCAATCAGACTACTTCACTCTGAGTCCTATTGTTCTAGGACCAATCAGACTGCTGCATTCTGAATCCTATTGTTCTAGGACCAATCAGACTGCTGCATTTTGGATCCTATTCAACTCAGTATATAACACATATTGTGCCAGATGATTGATCATTGCCAATGGAGACTGGTCCACAAAGGTGAATGGGGCTCTGCCCCACCATAAGGACATAAGCAGGGCCTGCTGGATCAGCCCAGGAGCTCATCTAGTCCAGCTTCCTGTTCTCACACTGGCCACCAAAACCCCAAGCACAGGAGCCCTCTCATCCCTTGCGGTTCCCAGCAAAGGCCGTGTGTGGGATTTGTGGGACATCATTGCAGTGAAACCAACAATTCATGTTTTGCCAGATAGGCACATGAAGGGGCTGAGGCTCACAGAGCCTTTCTGTAAAATATGCTAGAGAGAACTCTGTGAGATCACTTCCTTTATCTGCCTTGGCAGGAAGCTGTGACTACATACTTCCTTCCTGCCCAGGCAGCCTTCTCTTTCTTCATTGTGCTTCCATCCATGCTGACCTCATAGGCATATCTGAGCTCTGCAGCTCAGACACCATTTTTGAGCTTAACTTTTGTGACTTAGATAGTAGTTATAAACCTGCCTCCATTTTTGCTACTGAAATGGCTGCTTCAAGAACTAGATTATGTAAGTAAATGCTACTTTTACATCTTCACAAAACAAGGCCCCTGGTTGGCTACTGTGGCAATGACCTGTTAGTGGCCAGATCCATCAGGACTCTGGAGGATTATTCATTCATTTGTTTACAGCATGGGTACCCTGTTCCTCAGACTGGCTTATATGCAGCCAGAACAAGACAAACCCTGCCCATGCAGTCTCACAACCACAACCACAACACGGCACACAAGGAAAAAGGGACAGGGAAGGAAGAGGAAAGTATATTAAAAAACCTCAGACACTCATTTCTAAATAACTGTTCCTACAATGACGTGGTGGCGCTGAGGGTTAAACCACAGAGCCTAGGACTTGCTGATCAGAAGGTCGGCGGTTCGAATCCCTGCGACGGGGTGAGCTCCCGATGCTCGGTCCCTGCTCCTGCCCACCTAGCAGTTCAAAAGCACGTCAAAGTGCAAGTAGATCAATAAGTACCGCTCCAGCGGGAAGGTAAACGGCGTTTCCGTGTGCTGCTCTGGTTCGCCAGAAGTGGCTTAGTCCTGCTGTCCACATGACCCGGAAGCTGTACACCGGCTCCCTTGGCCAATAAAGCGAGATGAGTGGCGCAACCCCAGAGTCGGTCATGACCGGACCTAATGGTCAGGGGTCCCTTTACCTTTACCTTTACAATGACCAGCTGGTGCAATTCAGGGGCAGGAGGTGCCTGGTGGAGCTGATGAAACAAGACCTGTTTCCCATCTCTCCTGCCAAGGCAGCCTGGTGGAATGGCTTCCCTCTGTTGACAGTTGATGGGAGAGGACACCCAATGGAGCATATGTACCTCCAAGGCCACAAATAATCTTCTGCATCTTCTCTCGCTTTCTCCTCCACCTCTCTGGCCTCACCCTCAGATGCAAGCGCTCGGAGGATGGAAGCCACTGCCCAACTCTTAGAAGTCATTCAGGATCTGCAGAAGGCCCACGATGACTTTGAGCGCCACGAAGAGGAAGCAAAGGCAGCAAGCGACCAGGTGCCCCACCATCCTTAGGTGGGACACACGCACCCCATGTTTGTTCCGTATTGTAATGGTGTGTTTACATAAGTAAGGGGGATCCATTGCCTGCCTTGCAAGTTGGATGGCTTTGGATGCAGAGTTGGGACTTGGGAGGCAAGTTAGGTTGGTTGTGGAGAGAGAGGGAGTGAGACAGACAGACAGACAGACAGAGAAAGGATGGACGAATGTCTTTGATCTCCTCCTGGCTGCACCCAGTCTACGCTCTATATCCAACATGGTGCCCTTCATATGTTAGACTCCAACTCCCATCAGCTCCAGCCAGCATTGCCAATGGTCTGTGACAGTAGAAGTTGTAGTTCAACAGCATCTTGAGGGCACTTGCGTGAATCTGTGCCAGATGTACAAGTAATTCCTGAAGTGTCCTCTCTTGAATCACTTTCTCCTTACAAAGGGGGCACACTTAGGCCAGTGGTTTTGTGTGGGGGGGTGTGTGCATGTTACAAATCTGTAGAAGCACAGATTGCGGGCACAGTATCCTGGAAAAATTCAGCCGTTGGGTGTTTATAAAAGGGATGAGGAACCTGTGGCCGTCAAAGGTTGTTCGACTCCCAGTTCTAGTTGGCACGACCCATAGTGAGGGACGATGGGAGTTAGGACTCCAGTAACATTCTCTAATCCTTATTTTAAAAGAACAAGTTTCTATCCCTTACAGTTAGGCTTGAAAGCCCACAGGCAATGGCCACCAAAACTGTAGAAGTCAAGGAGGTGTCTGGCTGCAGCTCACTTTTGGTGGGCATGGATGACTTCACGTAGCCAATTTGCAATAAATTGTGGGAAATTAATTTTAGAAAAGCACATTGGAGAATACGTTCTGTGGGAATAGGAGATATTGTGGGCATTTTGTATAACTGAGATCGCAGAATCTATTCCGGCGCAGAATTGGCAGTTTCTTTCGTAGCACAGGAGGCAGGTCCCTTGCCCCCAGTGTGTGCCCCCCTTGTTGGTGTGCAGCTGTGCTCCACTGTGGATTGGGGCCATGCCCTAGCAATTTGCCACGGTGCTAGGAGCAGTGTGTGTGCAATACAACAATGGTGGGGTCCTCCTGATCACGTCTCCTGGTTTCTTTGCCAAACTCTTGCAGTGCAAGAAAGTTTCTCCTGCTGCAGGTGTGCCTCTTCCTCGCCCTGTTAAAGCTTTTGTGGAAACTGCGAATGTTCAGCCTGTGATCCCCCAGCGCCTGTATAACATATGTTAGTTTAGCATTGAGTGCCCCTTTGCATTTGATCACACGGTTGCAGCAAGCAAACAGCCCAGGACTGTCAGTTTGAAAACAGCAAGAACTCCTTTGATCTGGTGGATTCAGAACAAGCTAGTTGGTGTACAGCCAAACACAGTCTTTCAAACGCCGTGATGTCTTGTTAGATAAGGATTCAGCCTTAAATAACTTAAGCATTCTGCTGGAGAATCTCAGATTCAGAAGGGATGGGCGATCCTTTGGAGTGAATGGGGCACAGCCCTGCCAAACTCAGTCTGCCCTTGGCAAGCCTCCTACCTCCCTGGCTTCTTACTTACACCCAGTCCAGGGAAAGGTGTTGGCTGCCACTGGTTATCCCTTGCAAGACTCAACAGGGAGGAGGATGTGGACAAAGTTATAATTAAACTGGCTTTGCCTGTCATTGGCTCTGGCGCCACCTACTGTCAGACCTCCAATGCCAAGGGGCACTGGCTGCCACTTCTTGGAATATATGGGAAATGAAAACAGCACTACCTGTCCCCCCACAAAGAGAGAGGTGCACAGATTACAAAATGCAGTTAACTAACCCTATTTCCTGTGGTGGCAGGTGGTTCTGGGAGGCCAGGGAACACCTTGAGATGCTTTGCAGGTGAGACACAGTGACTTCTTTGCATCGTTTTAGAAGAGATCTTCTTTTCCTCTCTGGGCTCTGTCCAGTGTTTCTGCCCACAAGCCCAAGTTTTAAAGTTGCACAGTATTCAACACAGCAGTTGCACTAGCGGAAGCTCTCTGGGCAACAGACCGTGCAATTTTTTCTGCAGCAAACACCTTCATCTGTCTCTTGCACAGCAACGGGCCCACGGAGCAAAATGTTTCACTACCAGAACAAGCTAAGTGACGAACTCAGGGCAGATTCCACACCATGCATTTAAAGTCCATCTACAGCAGATGGAAAGCACGTGACTTCCCTTGCAGAATCCTGGGAACTGAAGTTTGTGAAGGGCGCTGGGAAATATAGCACTTTAAATCCATTAAACATTACAGTATGAATCTGCCCTTAGTGGTATCTTGGATACAACCCTCTCATTTTTTGTTACTCCCCTCCATTTCTTTTTTCCCTTTTCTGCTAGTTCAGCAACGTCGGAAGTTGTCCCATACGGAATCAGGCCATTGGTCCATCTGGCTCAGTATTGTTTACACGGACTGGCAGCAGCTCTCCAGGGTTTCAGGCAGGGGATTTCTCCCACCCCTACCTAGAGATGCTAGGGATTGAATCTGGGACCTTCTGCACTCAAAGCAGACGCTCTTCCAATGAGCTCCAGCCCTCCGATAGCTTGATTCAACCCGAATCTCACTGAAAACCTGCCTGTTCAACTGTTTTTTGTCCCCCACCTTCTCCAAGGCTGGAGAGAAATGTCTCTGTGTTTTGAGGGCAGTGATGGCGGCCCTCCCACCTCTCTGTAAACATTACGCCTGTTTTTTACTGTAAATGCAGGCAGATGTGACTCACACAGGGGCAGTCTAGTGAAAGGACCAGAAATAGGTTTCCCCCCAGGGAGCTGAGGGCAGGCTTAGGACAGGCCTCCGGAAGCAGGTGTTTGCTTGCAGTAGGGGAGCCATCAGGCGGGGTATTATATCTGCAATGTGGCACACGGCTCACAAAGCCCCTCCTTGCCACTGGAGTGATATTTGGGGCAGTGAGGAGTGGGGAAGGCTGTCGGACCAGGCTCCTGGCTTGCTGGGAGTGCAGAGAGATAATAGCTTCACGAACCACGTTTCTGAGTGCAGCAAAAGCCGCAAAGCCCAGCTCCCCAGGGACGCCTTGCCAAAAGCTGATGGCGCAGCAGCACTAAATGGCCCCATAAATCACGGCTTGCACCAAAGCATCTGTGGCACAGTCTCCCTTGGGTGGGTGGGGAATCTTTAAGCCCTGGGAGATGATTTCCCCTTTTTCCTGCTTCCCGAACAGATGAAGATCTCCTAGGAACCTCTGGGCATTTCTTATCCAGTCCAGAACCTAAGAAGAACCTGCCGGATCAGGCCACCTGGTCCAGCTTCCTGTTCTCATAGTGGCCAACCAAATGCCCAAATTGGGGGACTGGCGAACATGATCTGAGCACAAGACCCATCTCTTCTCCTGTGGTTTCCAGCAACTTTCAACTAGCCAGCTGTGGTTGTGTTGCTTAGAGAACAAGCCAGCAAGCTAAGTCTTCAACTCTGGGTCCTGCACCCTCTCCCTCTAGCAGGAGGGGCCACCAGGGACCCAAATGCCTGCTGCCATGGCAAAAAGCACAAAGCTTGCTTGCCACATGGTTCCCCCAACCGTTGAGCCCAGAGAGGGAAACCTGGGTTCCACACCCTATCACTCTCAGACCCTCCAAGTGTCCCTTTTCCCCAGGGCTTTACAGAAGTCGTCCCAGTTTCTGATTTGACCCCAGAGTGTCCCACTTTTCCCTAGGATGCCCCTATTTTCACTGGAGAAATGTTGGAGGTTATGGAGTTATGTGACCCCCCCCCAACCAAAAGAGATAAGTATCTATACAACCTTTAGAAGACATCTGAAGGCAGCCTGGTATAGGGGAGTTTTCAAATGTTTAATGTTTTATTATGTTTTTATATATGTTGGAAGCCGCCCAGAGTGGCTGGGGCAACTCAGTCAGATGGGTGGGGTATGAACAATAAAGTTGTTGTTGTAGTAGTAGTTTGTTGTTGTTATGGGATAGGACATCCCTATTTTTATTGTGCACTCTGTGCTGTGAAGATGATGGACCTTGGACTGGTCAGTCAGCCTGGCCTACCTCACAGGGCTGTTGTGAGGATTAAAAAGAGGGGAGAGGCCCGTGTACATTACCCTGAGCTCCTTAGAAGAAGAGAAGTCTGTAAATGTGAATAAATGACAATGTAGTATTTGCCCCTTTTCCTTTCCAGCATTGGTGGTCTAGCACCCTCAAGCAGCTGCTGGTGTCCAGGTAACTCATGAGGGCTTGCCGAGGCTATTATTTCTCTCTCATCTGCTGATTCCCTTGGCTGCAGACTAATGGCAGCAGTGGTTAGGGAGCTCGCCGCCATTTTGTATTTTCCAACAATGCCCTGGGCTCCCATGTAGCATCCCTCCAGAGCATTGCATCATGGGGGGATTTAAATGGCAGGTAGCTTCTCAGCTGTTGTCATGACACAAGCCCATAGGGACAGTGGGGAGGTGATATCATGAGGGAGGGACTTCACGCCCTTTTGCTGGGGGCTCCATCGAACCTGGAGCTGGCTCTGGTCCTTTCACACATGAGCAAATTTGAACATCAGATTTTACCAATGGAAAGCTGGTTGAACTGCTGGGATCTCGATACCCAAGGCAGCCAAAATTTAATTAAATGTTGTTTTGAATGTACGGACTCCGTGCCTCCTTTTTAAAACAAACAAACAAACAAACATATATCTAAATAACTGAACTATATTGAAGTTTTTTATTATCTGTTTCTAAACGTTGTTGCTCTCAGCCTCTGGGGAGGGTTTAAAACTGTCCATTTCAAATTAAAAATGGGGAAAGGAAGTTGCTGTGTGTGTGTGTGTGTGTGTGTGTGTGTGTGTGTGTGTGTTTCAAATCCACATCTGCACCAGCCCTCTCAACCACAGGGGCAAGGCAGTGCGCTTGCTTCCCAGTTTACCCCTTCCCCCAGTGTCCCACCACCATGATCCAGGGTCTAAGTCATCTTCTGTCTCTCCCCTGAGGGGCTCCAGGGCAAGCAGCACCCACATCTCTTCCTCACCCAGCCAGTCCCTGACAGTTAGGTGCAACAAACATAGCCGAGGTGCTTTCGGTTGGAGAGGAAAGAATGCAACACAGAGATAGCATTTGGATTCCACATTTACTGCATAAATTTGTAAAGACATCAACACATGCTGAGCATGAACAGAGAAAGACACCAAGGAAATTACAAAGCCCTTTGGGATCTCCAGACAGGAACCTCAACTGACCATGCCATTGACATGGCAACTTTCCTCCTCAACGCCCAGCAACCCCATCCATAGTTAGACATGCTCGGAAATGCAACCTCTCTCACCTGTCCCATGTGAGGCTGTTGGGACTTGACTCTCTTCCACCCAATCACCCAGCGGTGGGGAACCAGTGGCCCTCCAGATGCTGTCAGTACTACAACTCCCACCATCCTTGAGCATCAACCATGCTGGCTGGGACTGGTGGGTGTTGGGAGTCGTGGACAGGGCCACAGATCCCCCATGCCCCCACTATTACTGTGCTTCAGGTCATATGTTCATTCAAGCCATAGGACACAGTGGCGAATTTCAGACGTAGGGACCAGATGAGAAGCTCCAGACAGACCTTTTTGTCGGGCCCTTGGGACTCTCCACAGGCCACACCCCCTTTCCCAGCCACCCCCTTCTCCATAAGCCACACCCCTTTCCCAGCCACACACCCCACAGGCCACACCCCTTCTCCACAGGCCACACCCCTCACCAGCCCTGCTCCCCACACCCCTGGGCAAGTGGTTTTGCCAGGCTGCAAAGCATCCTTGAACTCATAGAATCATAGAAGGGACCCCCAAAAATCATCTAGTCCCCTGCAGCGCCAGAATATGCAGCTGTCCTGGACGG